CTCAGATATTCCATAGAAAACATAATAAGCTTATCAATTTTGCAATTTCCGTATATTGTTGCTTCACCCATGAAGCACATTGAAATTAAATGAATAATGAGCAAAATGATCTCAAGTAATCTAATCTTAGATATTGAGACTGATTATACAAATAGTGTAAGACACACCTGGACTTATATATCAATAAATGAAGATTGGGAGCCATCTTTGTCAAAGTCATGTATAGATAGGTAAACAGATATTTGAGACCATTTATATTAACAGTATGTTATAATATGTACACTGTACAATACATGGAGAATTTTGGGAGCTATCCATTTTTGTTAGTCTATAGATAAACCGATGGCGATTATAGATTCAATAGATAGAAAGTGTTCATCATTAAAAAGATGTCTCTGTAGTAGGTCTCTAGCTATTTACTTATTTTGTTCATCATTAGGAAAATAAATTACACAATTACAATTTGAAGGAGGTAGGCCCATACAAGTTGATTGTCTGGTCAGCGGGAATTATTTATGAAAAACTGGATGACTAGGTTTTCTTATTTAATTTCCTTAAAAATGGGAAAATTGAATGAACATAGAAAATCCGAATGAACATAGAAGGCCAGGGTTACATAAAGGTTTCATCAGGGTAAACAGATATTTATTGTTATAGCCTTATTTCAATTAATAACTAAAAAGTTTTATCTTTATTGAGTGAAACTTAGTTCATTATAAAGTCTGTCATCAAGATAAAAAGATGTTCAACATGTCAGGTAATGTAATTTTTATATCAAAGCAATTAACAATGAATAAAATAAAATATATGCACATAGATTTCAACCAGATATGGACAGAGATATGGGCAACTATATTTGAAGGTGTTTTTCAACTTAAAAATGTCTTCATTGAATAGATAGCATTGTTAAAATAACACAATCTTTTACAATATGGTATATTGTAATAAAATACAAACCCACACTACACTACACTACACTACACTACACTACACATATTAAACAGGAACAGATAATTAACAGGTAGAGTGTAATGATTTATCCAGTAAAGAAAATTAAGAATTCACTTTAGTATTCTTGACAAAATTTCCTGCAACCAGTTTGCAACTGGCCATACATATTTCATCGATTTAGATTTAGTGCATTCATGATTATGATTCTCAGTGAAAGTGGACATATTGATAAGTGCTATTATTGTACATACCCAGTTGAAATACCAATTAGAAAGTTACACTTAATTTAAGAGGCTTTTTCTCAAAACTTATTGATTTTTTTATTGTTATTGATATTTATTCATGCAATTATTTTATAAAGTATATCTCCAATTGCAAAAGCATTGTAGGAGAAAATACAGGAGGTCTGTTGCAGGTTTGTGAGGGGGTGGGGTTGGGGCCAGACTGTGATGAAAGATAAATATGTGATTTAAGGGCTAATGGCTGTTTGTAATGATATATTATGCTACTAAGATTAGGATTTTACTCTTGATTTCAGATGAGACCACATTTTCACCAAATTTGAGTATAGATAGCATTTCTTCTTGGTTTTTCCTTGACGGCAATCGAAGGAGCTAGCTCAGTTAAATTAGAGTACTCAATTGAGTGGATTTAACATTTTGTTAACCTTTTCAAATATATCTCCAAATGCATTGAGTGATCAAGGTAAGAGTCAAAGTGAAAATAAAAGTGAGTTTTCTCTTTCAATCAATTTGTCATTTAAGAGGGAAGTATTAATATTTGAATTTCTTGTTCTGTTGCTATGGAAATCATCTCAGAGCTTTTTTCTGGTTTGAATTGAGGTTTCCATTCTCTTGACCTGTTTTCGATTGCATTCAAGCTAGTTTTTACATTTCTTTCAATAGTATTCAGATATTTAGGATCAAAGGAAAAATGAAGAAAGGTATCATCCGCATATATCCTACATAGTACATCGATTAATTCATCCGGAAGGTCATTGATATATAGTATAAATAGGATCACCTTGGTCAATGGCAAATTCAGTGTTATAACTAGATATGCAAGGGAACATAAGTTACAATAAGTGATATTTATAAGGACGTCATAGGTTATGCAAAATTATTCATAAACATGAACAATTATCGTCTAAAAATTGGTAGTTAATGCGTTATTGATTGATGGATATTGATTCTAATTCGCACTCCACTTCTGGCATTATTGGAAAATTTAATTGATTTTGTATGTGAGGGTTTATATAGAGTACTGTGTTCAACCCATACAATTAATCGTAATTATGGGCATTTTACTAAGTTTCTCTAAAATTCTGAACAAAATTTTGGTTTACTAGACTTTGTGAATCTAATGATATTCTACTAGATATTTCCTGTGCATGTACTTTCTATCAAATGCCTTTCTTGGATGTTGCTTTTCCATTAGATGCCCGATATTTCCCAAAAGGGTTATGTTGAAAGTGTTAATGATTTTTTGAGTTTCCAAATACATTAAGAAGTTGGAGTAAGTATTCCTACCATGTAGGTAAGAGCTTTGAACCCTGGTAGATCTTACAGAACTGAACAGAACAAATGTTTGCACCGAATGTGGGATAGTTAGAAATGATAGAGAATGTTCATCATTCAAAAGGCAATAGGCAATAGATCAAAATAATAGGAAACAGGGACTTGATCTATTATTAAAGGATACTGTAGTGACTATGAATTGAATTTCATTCATTATGATATTGTTATCGTTGGTAGAAAGTTAAAACATGGAATACTACATTCTAAAGATGACAATTGGAGTTTGAAAACATTTTGAACTAACAGCTGGATGGATGATAATAATCTAACATAACGTTTGGAATCTCTCTTATGACTCGAAGAACATAATAATTTAAAAAACATTTTCATGCTGGAATGTATTCAGATATCAACTAAAGTAAAATATTTACATGTATCAAATAAAGAAACTGCTCAACAACTACAATAGAGTGGAATTTTAATTAGCATGTGATAAAAACCTCAATTTGAATGGATTAATTGACAGTGAGTTAAAGGATAAGATCATCAAGAATAGACATCTGTTGATAAAGATAACGAAAAACAATAGATTTAGTTAATTTTGCTGCAAAGTTAAAAAAGAAACGATATGGGTAATGAGGTATCCAGAAACCAGGTTTCCCGAGCCAAAAATGAAGTAGTCTCACGATTAGAAACACGTCTGGATGACTTACTCAGTCACTTACCCGGACAGTCACAAGGGCTGAATAATAACCAAGGAGTGAATGACCCACAGACAAATAAACAGAATCATGGTATGAAACAATAATATTTGAGTATTCTAAGATAACTTGCATGGAGGGGGTTGGGGGAGAGATGAGTTGTATTCTCACACATCAGGTCCATCAAAGGACCCGCAAATCAATAAAGAGAATCATGATGTTGAAAATAATTTTAGAGTATCCTTCCAAATTATGTGGAAGAGGGGATATATTCTTATCTTACAAATGTCAGATACATTATGGTTTGGGGATTTCTAAAACATATAAATAGAGTAATTTCATTTGGTATAGATTTATCCTGTTTGGAAAATGTCTCTGTCGTGTCAGTGTGTGAAGCATAAAATAAAATGGATTAGAATGAAATCTGGAAAAAATGAATTAAAAAGCCATCTAGACACTAAATTGTGTGAAATTGACAATCATAAATTCAGGCAGTCCATTCAAATTATAGAGAGAAATGGATGAAATAGCAACAGCCACTTTGTATTCTCATTGGGAACAGCCAATGTATAAGATCAATAACAATGGCCTTTTAACACTGGTGATTTCACGTGGGACTGATACAGGCACTGCTGTTATTAGTGAAATACGGATCAATGATACCAAAAAACACCAAAATAGTTGCAGACATGATGTCAATTATCCTTCCCATAAAACACTGTTTTTGCCTGTGTAGAAAATGACACAATGGCATGACTAGTTTTTTTGTTTGCTGTTGAATACAAATATATGTTTTATTTGGATCAGATATACAAACTTTTAAAAATAAATACCTGAAATGACAACTTCTAAGGAGAGGAATACTACGTATGGATAGGAATGAATTAATAATTGGTGTATGAAAAAAGAGTCTAAAATTCAATCTTCTTTCGTAGAATGAACATCTGAACTTAAGTAATGAAATGCTGTCCTTTGTTAAGATACTCAAATCAACTCTGCCTAGTAGAGAATGTACAATTTAAAGGACTGACATGAATCTGTGACCCCACGAAATGTCGTTTGTGGTTCCTTATAATAAATAATGAGTTTTAGATCATGTTAATAAGACCTGTTATTGGTTATGGAAGCAGAATCATATCCCAGAAAGATCAATGCAGATTAGATCAAATCAGAGAGAATGGGATAAGATTATGTTCCAAATTCCCACAGAGGTTCATTAATCCCAGAATTCTATTATACGTTACTTGGTTCATGTGTTCATATATTTGATAATGGTTTGGCTTAATGTAGATGGGATTGTTTTACCTTCTCTTGGTATTATTAGTGAAAATAGGCTTGCTGGATGGGTGGATGTGTTTTATTTCAATTTTGCCTAGTAATATTCTGTAATACTCTTTAATAGACTTGAATATGGATTGTTAAAGTAACTGTATATTATCTAGCATATGCATTTACTGATTCTTGATTTGATTTGCGCATTTTCTCGATTTGCGCTTTGAAGAGTAAACAGCTTCATCATTATAGAGTTGTCATTTGTCATCATTGTCACTCCTTCCCATCATTATAGAGTGACTTCTTATCATCAATGAAGTCACCATGTATCTTCATTATAATCTTTGCATCATCTGAACACAGGGTTCCAGACATCATCCACTAAGTTTCTTCCTTCTTCCAGAAGAAGGAGGTACGAGTTCTGGAGGCCTGTGTTCCGAGAATGTAATTGTTGTAGAGCTAATGTAGAATTTTGTGATAAGACCCACCCCAGATGAATCTCATGTTTTAATGTGTTGGATCTCTCAAAAATAATAGTTGATTATTTGTGTGATTTCAGAATCTGGCACAGATCCTGCCCAACATGGGGCTCAAATGGAAGATAGATTCTACAACAACAAATCTTTCCAGGTAAATGCCACATGTTCATACATAAACTTTTGTATGAAAAATAGAGAAAAAAATTTGGGCCCCTTTTTGGAAATTTTGACCTAAAAAATGAGGCCTAAAAGAGGTGAGCTTTACGCCCAAAGTGAGGGAACTGTGTTGGGTCACTTTTACATGCTACTTACTGTGAAATAAATGGACTTGAGTTTCTGACCCTAATATAGTCAATAAAGGAAAGACTAAAATAAATAGCATGAAGAATTGATTTCATTAAATGAGGAAAATGCATTAAATAAAACACTTCATAAAAATATTACATGGCAATTATTATTATATTTTCGTATAATTTAGTCACAGATGATTTGAAATATTAAAGTATCATTGCAGCCTTAAAAGCAATATGCCAAAATGATCCAAATATTATTACAGCGATCTGGAAAGATCAGTCTTATCAATATTACATTACACTATCCTCTTAAGGTATTAGTCTTGGTGGCTTCCTAAGTCTGCAATCAATACATACATTTCTACTGAAAATCATATGGAAGTGCATGACTTTTAGCAATAATCAAAGGAATATTGTTATTATATTGAACATGCTTTTGAGTTTTAGCTCTGGGAGTTCAGCTGTTAACTTGTAACTTAATTGTTAATCAATTTCAGTGTTCTCAGTATGTCATTCAACAAATATAGCATCACACCTTACAGATCTTTCTAATGAAAATTATGTTAAGAAATCTCATGAGATCCCAGATCTGACTCAGAAAATAATTCCTCCTGTGGAGGTGATTTCCCAGCTGTCATCAGTACATCACATGACTGAAATTATTCTCAGTATGTCATTCAACAAATATAGCATCACACCTTACAGATCTTTCTAATGAAAATTATGTTAAGAAATCTCATGAGATCCCAGGTCTGACTCAGAAAATAATTTCTCCTGTGGAGGTGATTTCCCAGCTGTCATCAGTGCATCGCATGACTGAAATTACCCAATTATATATACTAGAATCAAGTGGAGAACAATGAGAATTATTGATTGTATACAAACAAGATCAATCTTCAACAGATTTTCTCTCCTAAATAATTGAAATGCCATCCATCCATGTATTTACCCAAATTCTATAATATGAACATTTTGTATATTTTCTCCTTTTAGTGGCAAAAAGGATGAGGAGTGTCAACGTGCTAGAAGTAATTTTCAATTTTGTCAGTATACTGTCACAAAATATCTGAAAAGATTTGAGATTACTGGAAGCTATTATATATTCAAAAAGCATAAAATATGTCCAAAATTAATTTGAATTAAAAAAAGCATTGTTGCTACATCAGCCTGGAATATCAAAGCATTTTATAAATTACAGTCAAAACTCTTATATTTTTCAGAAAAAAATAATGACTGAGAATCCTGTAAACAAACATTTTGATAAAATTTTCAAATTTCTTATCTTCATCCTTTACTACATGTACTTTAAACAGAGTAAATTGGAAATATATATCCCAATGCAAAGTAGAAGTCACATTAATGATTGTATATGGATTTTCATTCTGTTACTAAAACATTGATGATACGTTTGTTTGTATTGCGATCTTAGAGGTTTAAAACTGCGTCACAATTCTGAATGATGTCAGTCAATTTATAAATAAATTTCAGTTTAGATCTGGAGGCTATGAAAGTGCTTCTTTTGTTTATCTTCTAGATAGGCTTCAAAGTGACAGTTTAATATATAAGTTAGTTTATGGGTTCATTTCAGTTTGACGTCAATTAGATATAAGTACATAGTAAATATAGTATGAAATACTATTCCCAAATGAGGGTTATCAGAAGATTTGAAATCTATATCAGTGTGTATACATGTATTTTAGAGGTTAGGATGCTATTTATAAACATATAATGCGTGCCATAAACAATATACAATAAATAATGTACATGTATGCCATAAATATTGAAGACCTTAAAATGATAAGTTGACGTTAATACTGTTGCCTTCACACCTCTCTCTAAATCATATGAGGGGAAGGGGTTGTAACATTGATCATTTTAAATGTCTAACAAAACAATATCAAAATCCTAGTGGATACAATCAAGATATTACATGGTGTACAATCCTCGAAGGAAGAAAATGTGCACATTGAAAACTCAGCTTGACATGTTCTTCACTTTATTGTCATTTTGGTGATATGGATCGGAACTTATGGTTCATATCCATTTAACTAAGCCACAAAAAGTATGTCGATAGTAACTTGTATAATCGTATAAATATTATAAATATTCTTCCTTTAAATTATGCACTTGCTTCCATCTTAGAAATTTAAATATGATTTCTATGTTACTATAGCAACCCGATGTTGACCCCAGTGACCCTGAGCAACAGGCAGCAGCATTGAAAATCCAGACCAAATATAGGCAACACAATGCAAAACAACAGGTCGAGCAAGTGCGTCAAGAAAAAGCTGCCACAAAGATTCAGTCAGGATTTAGAGGTCATAGAGATCGTGAAAAGGTTAAGGAACTCAAGTAAGTGAATTAAATTATTAATTCTCTATCTCATATTACGATATCTCAGCTAACCAGGTTTCTTTAAATGATTTCCCTTTTCTATACGCAATCATACATTGACTTTAGATTTCTGTATCACTTCCTAAATTAAAAGAAAATATCATTCTAGTGTCATCTTCTTTCAAGTAGCCTGACAAATGATATAATCTTGATAGAGTAGCCGCATGATTAGAGATTTCATTATGGATTCTACTAGGAACATTGAGATTTCATTCATTTTCTCTCAATGCTATGTGATATGTCGGACTTTCTTACATTTCACCCAAGTTTAGATCTTAATTTTAAATATGTTCACTTCATTTCTTGCCAGTTTCCCTTACCTTAAATAACAATAGACTTCATTTATTGATTACCAAACTTCATTCAAGGGTCTAAAGCTGGGAAGAACACAAACTAATCAAACTTTGTCAAATAAATAACCTATGCTCATTTTCTGGATATATTTGATGAATGTAATACTTGGATTTGCTTGCTGTAATATTTTCCAATTCATTTACTTTCAGAGCCAGCTCAGAATCAGAAGTAAGTTTTTACAAAATTAGATTTTCTTTTATATCAAATAGTATTTCTTTAATTTTAGTCATTAATTGAGTCACATTTTATCGTAATTTTAAAGATGTCATTTTAAAAGCAAAAAAGGCTCCAAAACGTAATAAAATATGTAGTTTGGATGTTCATTTATGTCTGTGGATTATATTTTATACCACAAACACTTATAAATACCTGAAATTTGCAATAAAAGTGCCCAAAAATTGTTGTTTCGAAATTCCCCATTTTTCCTGTATCGCGCTAGTCACGTGACCCTTACGCGTAGCAGGCAATGCCTAGTATTACAGATATTACAGTACATATTTCAACATGTTCAATATGGCAAACATCAGCGATTCTGACTCCCGGGTTCTGGGAAATGGCTATATATAAATCGGCGAGAGGGTGTTATTTAAGGAGGACAATTTAAGGAGGGGAAATATGTCCAAGTATGCCAGTAAAAGAGCAGATATGGACTTTAGACAAGTACTATGACGGAGAATCAACTAAAAAAATGTGCGTTCTGGAATGAAGACCCGTTGCCATTGACTGAGAATCCCAGCGATCCTATAATCCTACTCAGTTTGAATTTAGACGCGGAAAACAGGTTATGAAAACGGGCTCTCTGCAAAGTTATCAAATTTAGAAAATATGGATCTTGTTTTTGAGTGGCTTAACAAGCATTCGGATACAAGACTTGGCGCTATCTCTTGTCAAATACACGCAGACTTGCAGTAAATTGGCCATTGCAAATTGCAAAATCAGATCGTCAAATTAATCGCTTCGTTTTTAAACGTATGCTTCATATCTTCATCCAAAACTTTAGGATTCGATAGAGATAAGTTAAAACTTGTACAGGAAGAAATGGGAGATCCTACCTTAATTTAGAATCGCTGATTTCTCTGGACAAATTCCGAGAAGAAATTGTTCAACATCGCGATCAGCTCAGACTAAACTTACATGTCGTGCATGTCACTCTGAACTCACGTGATAAAATACGGCATTTTGATTGGTTACTACTCGTGTTGTCATGACGCGAAAAACAATAGTAAACACTGAATATGTTAATGAACTGTCATATATGGAGCAATTGTCTTTCTGATTGGTTAACTTTACACGCCTCCTAAATGAATATAGTAGTCGTAGTAAATGATTCATTGATAACTCTGAAAGTGGGCGTGACCAGCTTCATTTTGACACCAAATTCAAGATGTTTCAAATAAAAATAGCCTCGCAAGACGAGGTTGAAATATCGGCAGTTTGATACTGATATGGTCTACGATAGATCAAAATTGACTGCCCCGCGTCATATGTCACGTGAGCCTATATTTGTTGAAAAATGAAAGAGATAGTGACACTTTTTAATCTTAAGTTAATACCAATATTACAAACACATATCTATTTTTTTCATTAAATATTTATTTCTTCATTATACATACATTTGTTTTACACTGCATTGATTTATTTTTGCAAAACCTTTGCTATTAGATCTTTAATAAACAATTTTTGAAAAAATATGAATCTCTTATTAACTTTAAATGAGATTAATTTTACTTTTTACATAAAATATCAGAGTTAAATCTGAATTTTCTGCATGATTGGTTCAGATTAGTTCAAAATACTACAAACTGATTATTCAGGTTTGTGATTTAAAAATATCTTGATCCATTCATGGTAGAAAGTCTGATCTTATCTCTCAGTACTTAGTTGTAAACATTTAAGTTTAGATAACACATTTATGATATATTCAATCTTGAGAAATTTTGAGTATGTCATTAATAACTGTAGTATCTAGTGATACTTTTACTTCTTATACTCTAAATGTACAGTTTGCTATAATCTTCATATTACAAATGCAGTAAAACCTGTAAAATTAAAAAAATATAATTATTCTTACATGTTTTACTGTATTGTAACTCTGAACATATATTAGAAAATGTTGTTTTTACTCTCAGTGAATAGTGCATACACATTATATTGGAAATACCCATATTAGATTTAACTACAACCTCCATGCATATTTTAAAAGGGTAAGATGGGGTTTCATCTGAGAAATGTTAATCATCAAATTGAAAATCAGCAATGAAGATAATAATACAATAGCTTTGTCTCAAACCATAAGTACGAGGGCTCTGAAAAATGTCAATAACTTTAAGTATTCTTTTGTTGTTCTTTGAAGTCAACGTTTAAGGAAGTTGTTTTAACTTCTAAATATGGGACCTTGCACATTTTGTGATATACAGTAGTAACTATAGCAACATATTGTATCGTGTGACTTTCTTCTACATGTCGTTGTAGAGTAGTATGTTGCACTGTCTACACATTGTTTTTAGAGTATAAAAGAGGAGGCTAAACCCGAAACACAGGAAGAGGAGGTAGATATAGATTTAAATGACCCAGAAGTTGGAGCTGCTGCCACCAAAATACAGGCAGGTTGGCGGGGCTCACAAGCTAGGAAAGAAGTAAAAGCTAAAAAAGTAAGTTGATATTGTTTTGTGGGATTTTGATGGTTGCCATGACAACCGTGCAGCTTGTGAAGTAGATGATCATCTCAAAATTAGACTGATTTAAAGGTAGTTATTCAAAATCCTGAGATGATGTATTGACTTCTTGAGCTGGACTGGTACATTGGATTTGATGATCAACATGCACAAGAATAACATGCCGTTGGAAATTTTGTATCATTTCTCTGATGGATTTATTTCATTCATTCGTAGAAGTCCTTATATGACCAGAGAATGAATAATTCATTTTTATAGAAATACACACTATATATGCAATGGTGATTAGTGTGCATCTTTATAGAAGCTGACCATAGGTCCCATGGGATCGACCCAATTATGTTCAGCAAGAGGAGAGGGGTCATATAATTGTTACTATTGTTTCTAGTGACTGTGGTGGTGTGTGGCTTTATATTGTTATTAAAGAGCATGTATGTACAAACTTAAACTTTCTCCCTCCCTCTACTAATCAGTCTAAAACATTGCTCCAGGCCAAGTAATGTTCCAGTAGCTTGAGATGGCCTATTAATATATAGAATATTTATAAATGTATATGGTCAGTCTTAAAGTGTCTTTCTAAGACTTAGAAGGAGAAATGTGAGATTTGAGCCATATGTCTCAAGAAAATGCTCTTACCTTTCTAGTAGGATGAGTTCAGGTGCCAAAAACAGCTGATCAAAGGATATATATCATTTTCTAATTGAAAATTTTTGTTGAGCCCTGCATTTTTAACACTGTTTTGACAGGAAGTCATACCCAAAATGAAAACTGAATAAAACAACATTTATCCTAAATGTAGATTAAAATACTTACTCAGACATGCAAATGTTATTATTAGTAGTAATGCTGATCATTTTTAAGAAATTTAAGCATATAAATAAGACTTTTTTCGTCCATGATTATATAGATAAAGAATTTCTTCCTTCAAGAAGCTTTATCAGTTTGGTGTAGTGGTTAGAGCTTTGGGCTCGAATATAATAGACTTTTATTCCAAAAGATCTGGGTTCAAATCCCTCTGGTGGAACATGTTTTTATTCTTTATTTTTGTTTTTTTCATTTTGATCCACAATATTTCTAAAATAAATTTTTATATATGGGACTTAAACCATATTTAGTATTTCCAAGGGTTTTAATTTTTAGATGAAATCATAGAAAGTTACTTTAAGCCAAACCTCAAGAAATTCCTATATGGCTTAGTTAAATTGTGACATCCCCTTTCTTGTCAAGGGAGAGATGTGTTTTATATCAGAATGGCCTATTTTATTGATTTTGCCATATTTTTTTGGTCATGAGCTAGACTGTTGGGTCTGTAGTTGAAGACTTTATCCCACTGTTGGCAGCATTTCAAGACAAGATGCTTAATGAATTGTCCAAATGTTTGCCAAAATCCTAAGTTTGTACATAAATGTTTGAAGTTAATTGTTGCATTTAGATATTCAAGCATAACAATCTGCTGTGTGTGCAATTTATAATGTGATTTGGTATTTGTCTCTGTAACGTCACAACGTCTCATTTGAAGCACAATGTTCATGACACACCACATGTTATTTAGGAAGATGAAGAACCACCACAAGAAGAAGAAGAAATAGATATAGATTTGGAAGACCCTGAAGTTGAAAAGGCAGCCTTGAAAATCCAAGGCACATTTAAAGGCTTCAAGGCTAGAAAAGAAGTTAAAGCAATGAAAGACAAGCAATCAAAAGAGGTGATTTGGTCTACCCATAATGCACCTTGTCTGTATTCTCTTTTCACTAACATTTTTCATTAGATATCTGTTTTAGATTTAGAGTATTTTATTCCTGAAAATTTCTCAAAAACCAATGGTAGTATTGAGAAATTTTTAGATTATATTTTGTTTTTGCCAAATTCACAGTGTACTTGTCTGTTCCCTCTCCCATTATCATAACCCATCCTTTTATAATTTGATTACAATATGCAACGTTTTCAATCAATAAATGTCAGATTTGACGAGTATGAAAAAGTGAGGATAATATCAACTTTGATTTTCTTACTGGGTTGAGTAACAGATAGAATTTTATGAAATGGCAAAAACATTATTTTAGTACATGTGGATTATTTTTATTTCACAAATGTTCTTGGATTTACTTCACACGTTAGGATTTTACTTCATCAATGTATTTCTCAGATATACCTTTTAGGATTTACAGCACACATAAATGTATAGGAAGCACATTTTCTTGGATTGTTTTTGTTGTTATTCCATTATAATGTTTTCCTTGTGTTTCATCAGATTTAGATAACTATTTATTTTAGTTCATGCATCATACTACCTTTTAATGATTTTTGAAATATTTTTAATTTTAGGTGAATTTATCATAGTTGCAGTTCTTAATCTTATGTATTTGCCCTTAAATTCGATGGCACAATACAGTCTAGTCACTATATAGATTATAACACCATAGTGATTATGTAGATTACATCACAGTGATTGTGTAGATGACATCATAATGATTATGTAGATGACATCATAGCGATCATCTAGATGACATCATTGTAATCATGTAGATGGCATGACTTGTTTTTATGTGTAATGGCAATCACAATTGGATAAGTTGTTGAATTTTTGGTGTTTTTCCACTTATCTATTTATGGTTAAATTCATTTATCTAGATGATGATTTTACACAATTTTATTTTATTTATTTTTTATAATTTTTTTTTTATTTATAAGGAGATGTGTCTCTATTAAAAGTATAATATTTACAATACATCATCATGCTGTATAAACTGACCCAATCCGGTGTCTGTCTTTTGCCCCTGCCCTTATATTCCACTCTTTAATATTGTTCAGTTTTTAGACATTGATTTTATTTCATTTATTTTTACTCACCAATTTGTTGTCAGCAAAGTTATACTCTCATTTTATTAATAAGAAAATTATACTCACATTATGTACTTTATATTTATCTTATAGTATACTATCTGACATTGTTCTTTGTATGACTTTCTATATAGATTTAATTTACCTATATATTTAACTGATACTACATACTTTTCTGAATTTGTTTTAAATTCCTGTGTGCAGTTTTGGTTTTATGAAATATTCTTCATTTAACAGTTTTACCTTTCTCAAAAAGGAAACCTGAAGTATTCTTCTGGATTAAAAATATAACAACTACAATGTGTTTTCTCAAAGTGATAATTGAAAAGTAAATCTGTAATCATTTCCTCTTAGCACTTATCTCATTTATAATCATTATCATGATTTAACTTAAAATAGTGACTTTGCTTCAGGACGCTGACAAGATCGAGGAAAGGAGCTCTTCAAAATTGGAAGAGGAGGAAGAAATTGACATTGACCTTGAAGATCCAGAGGTTGAAGCTGCTGCTTTGAAAATTCAGGGTCAATTTAAAGGCTTCAAAGCTCGAAAACAAGTCAAAGCAATGAAGGAGGAAACAAATAAGGACACTGAATCTGAAGAAAAAGTTGTTGAAAATAATGAAAATGCTGAAGAAGAAATAGACATTGATCTAAATGACCCAGAGGTTGAGCAAGCTGCCTTGAAAATACAAGGACAATTTAAAGGTTTTAAAGCTAGAAAACAGGTTAAGACTATGAAAGAGGAACAACAAACTGTGCAAGATAATGCAATTAAAGATGAAGAGGAACCAAAGATTGTGGAGGATGAAGAAGAAGTAGATATTGACCTCGAAGATCCGGAGGTTGAAAAAGCAGCCTTGAAAATTCAAGGACAATTCAAAGGCTTCAAGGCAAGAAAACAAGTCAAGGCAATGAAGGAAGAAGAAAAACCCATTGAAAATGAAACTCCAAAAGATGAGGTTAAACCTAAAGATGAAGAAGAAGAAGTTGATATTGACCTTGAAGATCCAGAAGTAGAAAAGGCAGCTTTGAAGATTCAAGGCACATTTAAAGGTTTCAAAGCTCGACAAGAAATTAAAGCAAAAATAGAAGAACAATCAAAAGATGACAAAGTTACAAATGATGATAATACTACTCTACCTCAAGATCAGGATGAAGAGGAAATTGACATTGACCTTAATGACCCTGAAGTTGAAAAAGCAGCTCTAAAGATTCAAGGTCAATTCAAAGGGTTCAAGGCCAGGAAGTCTAAGAAGGATGAGCCCAAGGTCAACCAGGATTGACTACTAAACATTAATAGAGTACTGCATGATTTTCACTATCACTTTTGCATGTTTTAGGATTTAGATTTGTGTTAAACAAACCATGAGAATCACAAGTTATTTCGACCTATGCTAAGGTTGCTCTGCACTTTTAGAAAAAGTTTTGGGTAAATGTCAAATCAATTCCATTTAATCAACATTTTTTGATTTTGAACTATTATTCTAAAAGAATGTGTAAATATATTATATCCACAGTACATAAAAAATGAACCATTATATAAATCATTGGTAATTGTAATCAGGAAAATTACAATTATCATTTTCGCAGATCTACCTTGACTTATCTTGACTAATAACTTGTGCCAGTATTTTTATGGTAAAAATTGAGAATTGAAGTTGCCAAAATAGCTCATATTTTTACTAATTGGATAGTTATGGCTTCTTCAATTCTTCAAGATTTAGAAATATTTTCATGATTATCCTTTGTGCAGTAATAGTATGTTGTATTCCCATATGCAGTTCTGTGTTTTCCATATAAACATTCATTTTATTTACACAGGCTTTCACTTAGCAGTGGAGTAGGCACAGGCATTTTGAACATTTACATTTTCATCCCACAACTACTTTTTGTTGTTTCAGGCATAATTGTGTCTTGTGTAAATGCTTAGCTTCATTTAAATCTCAACTTGATTTTACATATGATTACAATAAATATGGATATTGATGTTCATCCTAATATGATCTGGAGCATGAAATTATAAGCAGTGTTTATTTTTGAGCAGGAAGCATTGACAGCGGAAGAAGAAGAAAAGGCATTTGTGACAAACAAACAAAATCCAATTCATGACCAATCAGACGCAGATCCTCAGAATGAGGCTGAATCCCAAAATGAGGCTGAAAATGTCAAATCAGCACCAGATTTTGCTGAACTTGATAATAATGACCCAAATAGAGAAAAAGCAGCCATTACCCTTCAATCTGGGATGAGGGACTATAGAGATAGACAGAGGGTTAAAGAAATTAGAGCCAGTATGGCTGGTGAACAATCCCAGCAAACTGAGAGTGAACCAAAGGTGAAAATAATCACTGACAGGCTCCCCTAGTAGAGAAACATAATGCCACATGGGATTCCATGACCTCTCTTGTAAATATGGGTTCACATGAAAATCATGTTACCTCAGAAGTGTTTACATGAAAATAAATAATAATATCACATGATAAATCAAATTTTCACCATGAGGTCACCTGAAAGATTATGTGTTCACCTGATAAAAATCATGTGTTTAGCAGAAAGGTCATGCAATGTTCCAATGGTTTATATTGTGTTTTAATAGCTACCTAACATATGTGCTTTAGACCTGATAGAGCTTCTAGCTGATCTCAGGAAACATTAGAGCCCTGAAATCACCATTTCTGACAATAATATAATCTTACACCACCTGCTTAGTTAGAAGCAAGAACATAGACAAGATCTACTTTATAGACATAACCCATAAAATAACACTCCAGGACAACATATTAAGCCATCGTTTAAGTGGTGGTGGTAATTCCTTTCTGTCTACTTCACAATTTTGCCTCTACTGGGTTATAAAATGCATTAGATTTCCATTCTCTCATGGCACAGTCGTGTCTTCTAGCTGCACCTCTGCGGTATACAAACAGAGAGTAATGTAGAGAAATACACGCATTTGAAGACTCTATACATTTAATGCCTGCTGAATGCTGACTCTCATTCTATCAAACTTCTTTAACCTTTATTCACAAAGGGACTTGATAGTTTTGATATATCATTTTAAAACTCAGCTTTAAAATGTATAACTATTTCATTGCCTGCTTCATTGTTTTCAACAATAAATTGCCTTGAGGTACAAATATAAGTAGAATATAATAGTGCTTTTAACATTACTTTAATATTATGCTTAACTAATGCCTCAATTTTAATTTACTTTTCAGAACTGTATTTACCAATAATGCTATCTTTATGCAGCAAGCTTTCCAGTGGTAATTTCATGAGGAAAATGAGATCATATCAAATGAAAGAATATCTCCAACAATTTTCCAAACAATTTTTTATTTTCTGTAAAGGTTCTTGTTTTTAATACATGGACCACACAAAATTAGTGGTCAAATCCCAGTTTCCCTGGACCTCAATTTATTCTGTTTTTTTGCATTGGACATTAGCTTAACCAATTGGACAAATCCTCATCTTTCTTCATTAAAAAATACTAAACAAATTTAATTGTTTTATAGATATGAAGTAAATGCTTGCTTTTAAAAACTACTGCTTCTTGTTATATATTTGATCATAGTTCTGTTTATTTCAGGATTTTGACAATTTAAAACATTTAAATGTTATTGATTGGTAGGAGTAAAAAGAAAATGAATTTTGATTTTTGATAAAGTTTCATAATGCATATGTTATTGATATTGCTAGCTGTTGAACAGATGTGCCCATAGTTTGTTAGATTGTGCCTATTCTTTCTGTTAGATTGTGCTGAATAGAATGTAGTAGAATTTATAATAATAATAATATATTTTAATAAAACATTATTCTTGCATGAAATATTTCAGATCTACTAGCCAAAATTAATATAATTATAATTATGGGCAAGTTGCCTTAACAGCTTAACTGAAACTTACAGATAATTCAATTTACTTATTTATTAAAAGTATGAAAAATATATATAATTTTTAATTGAATGATAAATAAAACATTACAGGAACATAGAGCTATTGTTTCTGGAAGCATAATTAAACAGAATTGTCATTGAATATTTCATTTTGTTTGTTTTAGGAACAATTAGACCCAGAAGAGGAAAAACCCGCAGAAGCAGAACAGGTAAGAAATTTATATTTTTTAAACTGCATGTATATTTGTTTTATTCTGTTCATTGAGTTCTACATTACTACATGAGCAAAATATTTAACACATTTGAACCAATTTATTACCAATAGAATGCCATCATGAGATCAACCACCCTTCAGTTTTCATGGTTGGTTACCCACCTGATTCATACTTGACTGAATGCCCTTAAGCAATAAAATCTTCGATTATTGAGTAAAATGTCAAATATTTTTCCAGGAGGCTGTGAAAGAAGAAACTTCAAAAGAAGAAGAAGTAGATATAGATTTAAATGACCCTGAAGTTGGAGCCGCAGCTACAAAAATACAAGCAGGTTGGAGAGGTGCCCAAGGACGCAAAGAAGCCAAGGAAAAAGCAGCATCTAAAGCAGATGAACAATCTGCTGCAGTAGAAGAGAATCAACCTGAGACACAAGATAAACAACCCGAGACACGAGAGGAACAACCTGAGACACAAGAGGAACAAAAACAAGAAACTGCAGCAGTTGAAGATAAAAAGCCCGAAGAGGAGGAAGTAGACATTGACTTGAATGACCCTGAGGTTGAACAGGCAGCTATTAAGATTCAAGCTGGTATGCGTGGTATGCAAGCAAGGAAAAAGGTACAAGAGAAGAAAGAAGCCACATCTGAAACTAAATCTGATGAGCCTGCAGCTACTGAAGAAGCTAAACCTGAGGAGGCTAAACCAGAAGAGCCTAAAGCCGAAGAGCCTAAAGCAGAGGAAACTAAAGAGGAGGAAGTTGACATTGATTTAAATGATCCAGAAGTGGCTGATGCTGCTGCTAAGATTCAAGCTGGATTTAGAGGACACATAGTGCGTAAAGAACTTAAGGAAAAGAAGGAGGCTCAGACCGCAGATGCAACTCAGGATAAACCAGAGGAGAGTGCAGAGTAAATCTTTACATTATCTATTTCATCCAGTGTTTCTGCATTATAAATATGACCTATATGAGAATAATAATTTGATGTTAATCTTAATGTGGAGAATCTCATTAAATCCTGGCAAATGAGGTTACATTCAAGCAGACTAAATATTTATGTTACATTAACAGTTTTAATGTAATGACCCACCTTAAAATGTAGAGCAGAAACTAGCTTGAAATTATTGTTCATAATGTTTAAAACTACCCAAGTATACTTTCACTAAGATAGTCAATGTGTAATTAAGCTTGCCGTTCAATATATATTTCATGTTATATGGTGGAGTTGCCAGGGATGTGATAGAATTCATGCCATAATATACTAGAAACCTTAATATACCATTTAAACTAAGAGAGTTTGTCTCAAATATTCTAACTTCCATTACCTACTCTATTCTATTACATTATAAGTATTTGTTCCAATCTTCCTTAACTTTGCCCTCTTTAATACATGTATTATACAAAAATCAACAAGTATATTTATTTTATCACTTTTGTAGTGAGCCCAATACATGTGGAGATTTGAATATACTATGTAAAGTCATAATTTTGCTGCTTTATCCTGTGATATGAGGGAAGGAGCATAATAATGTCTCCGATCCTCTAATCCAAACGCCTCTTGGACCATCTAAACATGTTTGGATTGGCAGGGGTTCATATTAGAAAGGTGTTTGGATATACAGGTTCTACTGTACTGCATTTGCTATTTTGTACCACTTTTACCAGATATTTGTCAATTTACATGTACTTGTAGTTTTCACAATTTTCTGAAAGCTTATATCTGAACATGCTTCTTACATTGTACATAGCACATTATGTATACAAACACTATATAAGGAATAATTCTTTATGCAAACACAAGTGGATTATTAATACGTTAAAATGTTATTTACAAATCTCTCATAGATAAACTGTAGATACACTTATTTTGACGCTACTTAATTTGACGGATTTCCTCAATTTCAAATATTTTTGGCTATTTAATTTGGCAGATTCAGGTCTAAAGTTTAATTTTTGCCTATGATTATGTCATTAGGACAGGTATTTACTAAGATATTTTCTGTATTTCCTTTGGAATAATGTAGAATTGATGACATGTTGACAGGAAAAAGGGTCCCCGGAAGTTAAATTTCTGGAGTGCATTGGACAAAAATTCCAAACTGAAATTTGACGGATTTTTAATTTGGCAGATTTTCTGAATTCGCCAATCCGTCAAATTAAAACGGGAGCCAAATTTAGTGTATCTACAGTATTTTGGGAAAGAAACAGAAGTACATGTATTATATTTATGCGAGAACATTTTATAACTATATATATATATTAGAGTTTGTCATTGAGGCTTAATCGTGCAGTAATACTACAGTTGTAGACCAGATTGATGTTACATACTCTCAGCTGCATCAAATTAGAAAAGTCAAAGTTCTTTTCATACTTTTCATAAATGGGAATAGGTGAGGCAAATTTAAATAGGCGAGGCAATGTTAATAGTGAGGCAAATTTAAATAGGTGAGGAAAATATAAACAGGTTAAAGGACATTTGAATTGAATTGAAAATGTTTTGTATTTTTTGTTGAGGCACTTGTCTCACCTGCCCCTTGCCTCACCATTCTCTTTCAGAAGAGATGATAGAATAAGATGATAAATTGTAAATTTCATGGTGCAGTTTGGAGATTGATGAACAGTGTAAAATAGATGATGTTATCAGCAGGGGTAAAATAATAACTACCCTTTGCATTCGTTAGACTTTACTTCTTAAAAGAGAGCTTCGTCTGTAGTTTAACTAGACTCTGCACGCAGGGTAAATAATAACTGGCAAAATGATTGAAAATTACAGTCATAAGAATTTATAGTGCAGATTGTTGCTACGGGCAATTTTAGTTAAAACAATTGATGATATCCTTCACCTGTTGCTATAGAAACCCCTGATTTGTTTATTTTAGTGGAACCTTTTGCTCATGTTGGTTTCTGTATTTATATATAGATGTATACATAAGAGAGGATATAATTCAATCTTTACTGTATAATCCATATCAGGGTACTTACCTTTATGCAGCTAAGTCATATCAGAAGGTTTTCATGTTTAGCAGGGTGTCTTTTTGCAATTTTAACTGCAATGTGGAACGTTTTATGAAAAAGGCTCTAACATTAACAAGCTGTCAAGTAGTTATGAAGCATGTCAGCATTTAACAATAGTAGTCTCAAATCATGGAAGGAACTGCTTTCATATCACATGTATAATCTTGGAACCCTTTAATTGTTAATTGATATATCCTCACTGTTTCCTTCATTTCTTCTAAATCTTGTGAACTAATCGAGAAAAGAATCGTTACTTGAAGGGTTTTGTTTCCAATCAAGAGACAAGACATTTTGTAATATTCATTGTTATAAACAGAATGTAAATATTTCAATGTAAATGTGGATCATGCAAATACAGGTATATATTGTGTAACATATATACAGGATATAATGTACATATTTTTTATAATTCGAAGGAGTCAATAAAACTGTTTAAATTATGGAAATTATTTGTTGTGTAACTTTCCTTGTCATGTCTATTTTTATGTCACCACCAGAGTGGTGACATATTGTTATGGTCTCCATTTTTTTGACAGCGGTTGGTGGTTGGCGTCTGTAACAAATTCTTACAACTCTTAATAACTTAACAAATACTGTTTAGACTGACTTCAATTTTTTCAGAATCATAGGGGTCCAATTCGACCATATTTATTGGCAAATCGGGAAATTATGTCAGCTTTGTTTGCACCCAGTTGTTTTGATGACTGTGTCCTGATTGCAAGGACGATATATCAGATGTACCAAGAGAGAATTAAGTTTCTAACCCTGTAAATAATCAACACTAAAAGTGTATATTTTATTTTAATTTTCTTACATCACATTGTATTAAATAATTATGTATGATGATCAGAATTGGTCGCAATAAAGAAATATATATATATCTACAAGTTTTCAGAAGTTCAAATCTGACTTTATATTTAAGATTTGACCTTTTCAAGGTCAAAAAAGGTATTTTTTCAACTTCAAATTGACCAATTTTTTGACAGCGGTTGGAATCTGTATCAAATGGTGTCTATAACAAATGGTGTCTGTAACAAATTCTTACAACTCCCAATAACTTAACAAATACTGTTTAGACTGACTTCAATTTTTTCAGAAGTTAAAATCTGACTTTATATTTAAGATTTGACCTTTTCAAGGTCAAAAAAGGTATTTTTTCAACTTCAAATTGACCAATTTTTTGACAGCGGTTGGAATCTGTAACAAATGGCGTCTATAACAAATGGCGTCTGTAACAAATTCTTACAACTCCCAATAACTTAACAAATACTGTTTAGACTGACTTCAATTTTTCAAAATCATCTTCAAGTTTTTAGAAGTTCAAATCCGACTTAAGATTTGAGATTTGACCTTCAATGACCTTCTCAAGGTCAAAAAAGTTCAAAAAGGTCTTTTTTGAAGTTGCTTGAAATTGACCTATTTTTTCAAAATCATCTACAAGTTCTCAGAAATTCAAATCTTACTTAAGATTGAACTCATAATATTGTGAGCAGCGAGGTGGTGACATTTTGTCATTTTAATGCCTTGTCTCAATATTGTCAGAGAATCATTAATTTGAGGAAACTTTAGATTTTTGCAATTATAATGCATTCATTTGTCTATAAAATGGTTACCATTTTTATTCAAGAGAATCTAAACATTTTCCCCCAATTTTGGCACTTTGAATCCTTAAGAATTTCACCAATTCATAACCCTGATCTTTTGTTTTTTAATTTTTGAATACTTTTTGTCAAATCAACCAAAATTTCATTTGTATAATTGTTACTATGAACATTGAAGAAAAGCTGCAAAAGTCTAATAACTGGCTCCAATTTACTCCCTTAGAGTGAAGAAATTCAGGACATTACAGGACTCCCTTCACAAAGGTCTTTACGATATGGGTGCCAAAAAACAATGGGATTAAGCCTTGGCATTTACTGAAATAGTGTGAATAGAAACTAATAAAAATGCTATTCAGAGTTCAAATATTTTTTACATTTCACAAAATTGCTGTTTATCACATGTCTGGGTGGAGATATGCAAAACATTTTGACATATTGCTATTTATTGACAATGTGGCGTTTTAAAAGCGTGACACTTTTCGTCTTTAAATGTGTGTCTAATAAAAGTGAAAATGGATACTTTCCATTGCTTCATAACAGTATGTTCATGTACATTGTTCCATCTGAATGTTTGTAGTTATTTACTTAAATTAGATGCATCTTCCTCGAGTGAAAAGAAAAAAATAAAGTACTGATTGAATGGTTGTGATTGAAATGGAAACCATTTATTTTAATAATCTTCAGCAACAAATCATTCATTACATTTCTCTCTCTTTTATTAATACTGCAGATATATTTGTAACAATGAAGTAGGATAATAACATAGTCCATAAATATTGAATATTCATTAAAAGCTTTTTTTGGCGAAATGTATACATATTCTGATAAATACTCGTATTCACATTCATACAATACAATTATAAAACATCCACATATAAGGAAATACAAGAGAGTACATAACAGAAACACATGATATGTTGATACATATAAAGTTAGAGTCCAAGGATTGCTATTTCCGACCCTTGTTCCTCATCCTCAATCCCTCTCAATAAAAGGAATTGATAAATATCCTCAATATTCTTGTAATAATATCACCCCCAATTGCTTCCTCACACAGAACAAGTATGAGCAGAGAATACATGCCACTTTTCCTCACTTGTTAGGTTTTCAATTGTTTCAATCTGTATAGTAATGCATTCTCTCCCTATTTAAACTATTTTTTGCTTCCTACACAGCTTCATATCATATGTAACGATACCCCTATTTCTGACACATATGTTCATTAAAAATTTGTGCATTTATATAATAAGCAGTTTTACAATATTTTCACAACATTTTCAGGGAAGTTAGGGATCATCTCATTGTGCCTAAGTGATGCCTAACCCTTATCCTGAAAATAGACATTTCAGTATACATGTTATACACCCATTCTCACTTCAAATTCCATTCTCAGTGAAATCAAATACTTTTACAACGTTGTCTTGTCTAATATCTCCACACATATAATATTTAAACAATAAATAGCACCATATATCACTGTATCTCAAATAAGCAATTCTAATGAAAGACTTCACAGCTATTCCAAGAATCACATATATCAATGCTGAAAATCAGATCAATATCTTAATCTGACTTTGCTGACATCTTCAAGTGTCAAAGCTGACATCAATAAGATGGAATGTAAATGATGACTGTCCATTTACACCGACTCTTTTTTAATTTCAATGTAGTCTAATGCTGAGTCCCAAAATAAGTTCAAACTGACTACTGTATGTAATCTTGTCACTATGCATTAGACTAAATAGGAAAGAATATACATGGTGTCCATAAAATCCCTTTACAATTTCAATACAAAGTCTGTGTAAAGAGTAGGGAAATTATGGACACCCTGTACATTTGGTATACTATAAATGTGTAATGTATATTATAAGCAATGTTACAGTCAGAACCACTGTCAGTCCATGGACATACTAGGAACAGGAAGGCTATCTCATGTTTCCAATGTTGAGTTCCTTGGTGACTACAGCTGGACAGTACTTTGTAAACATCATATGTTCAGTTTGATGAATCACCAGATATAGCCAGACATGAGGCAGCCATGCATGAAATAGCCAAAAATGATGAGGCAGATAACAGCCAAATAATGCTCAGAGGAAAGCAGACAACTGCTCCATTCAATTAGCTATTTGGTCTGTTTTCATCAAGATTTACTGGAAGATCGTTTTTGATGTTTATGACCACTTGTATGTCTTTGTCTTGTTTTGGTTACAGAGTGACGGAATATAGAGTTTGTTAATGAGATGACTGGCGAGAATAACTGCAACGGGAACTCACTGGAAATATGCAAATAGAAACATATATATATAAATGATTTTTTATACAAATCTCAACCAACAACCTTTTGAATGATAATCATACATACACTAAGAATGGCATCTGACCAAATAGCAAACTAACTTAAGATATATCATCAAAAATACATGCTATGAAAGGATCTAAACTAAAGTAAACTATTATGCTAAATGTATATATTCTATATTTTATATATAAGCATTTGTACTATATATAAATATATATTTAATACCACACCGATTCTGATTTTATACAGTAAAATCTCTGAAGTTGAACACAGACTTAAGATTAAAAGAGTGTTTATCTTGAGGTGTGTTACATTCAATGCACTTTACATATTCATGATGAATAACATTGCTTTTATCAGATGTTATACATACATACACTACATAGACTGCAGGGGCGTAGCCAGCTTTGAGTCAGGGGTGGTGCAATCGCCAAAAAAATTTCAGTTTTCAGATTGCACCCATCGCACCCCCCTGGCTACGCCTATGGACTGTGTGGTAAAATATCACTTGTCTAGCAATGAATGGTAAGAAGTTATGATGGCTATAGTAACAAGAGCCATGAACACTTCATACTCACAATGTTTCCCTGATTGGCTCAGCTTCGTTAGCACTAATGATGAATAGTGGGAATAAGATAGAGAACACACAGCCACTGAAAAATCAGATATATGTTATGAAATATCAACCTTCACTACCCAAAATTACATTTTACTGTCATTGTGGCAACCTATGGATGCCATCTTTAAAAACTCTTAAAAGTAATCTCAGACAATTGGCAACTCATACTTAGCATCTAGCATCTTAGAGTTTCTGAAGATAGTGTATGTAGATTTTCAAGTGAAGGACTCCATTATAGTCCTGCTGAAACACTTCTATTTGAATACAGTTTGAAAAATAGGCCTAAAATGGTCCAAATATGTGACATTTGTCATGATTTTTCTCAATTTCAAATGAATTTCCAGGTGGGCACGTGCACCAGCCTTAAATAACCCCCCCCCAGCTGGGGAAATCACTGCTAAAGTATTTACCTAACTATGTATGATGAAGGCCAAGATGTCAGGAGGGCTAGTGGTAGACCAAAGCCAAAGAAATATGGCCAGTTGCTCTCTATGTAGGAAAGTCTCTGTTGCACTGGCCAGCCTGGTAGAACAATAACAAAATATAATGAAACAATGGTTTATATTTGAAAATTAATTAAAATCTAAGAATTGAGACATTTCCTTTTGCTTAATCCTCTGGTTGATCAAATTTTTCTACATATTAAAAGAAAAGAATGTCTTAGGGGTTTTCTGTTGAACGAAGCCATTTCGATGAAAAAATGACATTAAGTGTGATAATGAGCACAACTCATGAAGTCATATACAGGGTGGGCCAAAAAAACAATACTCAAATTTAAGGATGAATATCATATGATATAACATTAAACCATGCCATGTATTGTATATCATTTTAAATATTAATAATTTCCTAACAATATGGCACCATCTGATTGAATTGATTTTTGATTTTTGGTCGCTCATGGCACCCCTGGTGTCAATTTTAGTCTCTAACTTCATGAGAAAACAAAGATTTTCAATTGGATGGTGTCATTTTGTTAGGAAATGATTTATCTTTAAAATGATATACATGACATGACATGGTTTAACATATATCATATGAATCATTCATCTTTAAACTTGGGTATTGGTTTTTTGGCCCACCCTGTAGTTTTGATGTAACCTCAGATTTTCAATTGATATTGGCATATGGGTGCTTTATACTAAAGAACTATATATACCGAACAAAGCTAGACCTACCCATGTTAAACCACTTGTACTCAAAGGCATAGAGTGAATAGAGAAGACACATGTGCAGGAGAGCTACTATATACCCTATGGCAGGAATTGGCAGTAAACTAGCTAGCATACCCTGAAACATATTATAATACAATCAATAATCTTAGTATTTCAAATGTTCCAATTTTACACATAAAGGATTGGTGTCGATATGGTGAACTTTTTGAACACATGCTTCTCTTAAACCAATCATCAAGAAATTCTAAAAATTTTACACATCGTCAATTTAATGGTCATCTTTTGAATGGTAACAATAAAATTTGAGAAAAAAAAATATACTTTTCTCTATATTGTTTTAGAAAACACATCAGACACTTTTTTGTTCTTGGTATCATATGTTCAGAATGAAACGAAACATCTATCCTAACCCCATTTGAACAAAACGACATAAACACAACATGTTTAGGTCTCTCAATAATGTAACTGTACAAAGGAAAGTTTGGTTGATTCTAAATATCTTGTTAATGAAATAAAAGGTTTATCTTAATTTTCATATATTTTGTTTTATTTGTTTTAATCTTTTGAATACTTTTTGTTAAATCAACCAAATTTTCCTTTGCATAACTATAATATTGAGAGGTCGAGAAAAATGTTGTATATGCTTTTTTGTTCCAACAAGGTTCATTCTCAAGAATTGGTAGAAAGGAACAAAAAACAATTGCACTAAAAAACAAAAAATGTTAACAAACACAGTTAAATAAAATATATATAAATAATTTTCACATTAAATTGTTGTCAATCAGTCAACATTACATAAAGGACCATGTTTTTTACAGAATGTTTTCAATAATTGGTTTAAGAGAAAAACATTGTTGAATTCAGTTCATCATATCGATACATATCCTTTGAAAAATTAAAAAGATTATGTAAAACATCATGAGTTCCATAATTTCTTGTAAATATTTTAAAGATTCAAAGGAAGACTCTAAACTGTTGAAATAATAACATTGATAAATCCATAAATATATAGACAAGTCTACAATACAGATGAAACAAGAAAAAATAATTCCAAATAAGTTTGATAAAAATTTTCATTCAGGTGGTTCCTGTATATGGACTCCTTCTGTAAAACATATCTTATTATGCTGGAGTCCGATTTTGAACTTTTCCATATCGTAAATTCAATTGTTGATTTACGGGTTTGTTGTATATCTATGATAAAGCGAATTCTGAACATTTCCGTAGGCTATATTTTTTAAATGTCGTACTACAGAAATTTACGGAAAAGTTCAGAATCAGACTCCTGTGTACCAACCTGTATAAGAAACAAACTCTGAAGCAGGAGACTGAACAGGATGTCTGCTATAACCTTGCTAAAACTTGGCAGCATCTGTGGTCTTCCACGTGCCTTTTTATAGGCTGCATCAGCAATGTCCTAAAATCAAAAAAAGTTTATTTGTACAGAAATAATGAAATCTTTTTTAAGATGAAATAAACTTATGCTATAGAATCTAATAACATGAATAAATGTGATTCATATTTCAAAATATTGTCAAAATCTAAATATTAGGTTATTTAATCTTAAATAATGATGAGTGTGTGTAAATGCAATATATCTAGAAACTACTGATTATCTTGCTGATTACTAAAAACTATATCTGGAGAGAGCTATTGATTCTTTTGTTGATAACAAATAAACCATCTAATCTGGAACCAGAGACTGTTAAACTATCTTTTTCCCTTTTCGCCCGATTTGTTAATTACAAATAAACCATCTCACCTTGTATATATACAAGAGACTGTTAAGAGTATTTTGCTGTTTACAAATAAACCATCTCACCTTGTATATATACGAGAGACTGTTAAGAGTATTTTGCTGTTTACAAATTAAACCTTCTGACTTGGAACAAGAGATTGTTGACAATTTTTTGATTACAAATAAACCATCTCACCTGGAACCAGAGACTGTTGACTATTTTACTGATTACAAATAAAGGTAGAATCCAGAGAGCACTAAATATCCAGGACAGTAGGGGGCCCATCCAGCTCCAGACAAAATTCTGCTTTGAGGATCCACCTGAATTACAAAAGTGAATTGATGCATTATTGAAATGGGTCAGGAATTATTGTTTTGGGGATTTAGCCTAACCTTTTCAGAAAACTGTAAACTACTGAAAAATTGACTAAAAGAAAATAGTTGTGTAAATCAAAGTTATTTTTCAAAGAAAATTACACACAAATATTCTGTATGTCACTAAATATGCCATTAAAAAGAAGAATCCCAGTTTACAAAAAGTCATAATTAATGTTGTACTTAGGTAACTAATATCATTTTAACAAAAGTCAATAAAATACAGATATTACATTATAGATTGTATATATTATACAAGTATTATATTACACACTATATCCTTTTATATCAAATAATATTGCTGTGCATGTTAATAAAATATAAACATTGAAACATTTTTTCAAAATTTTAACAAATTACAAAACGTTTCCTAATATGTGAAAGTCATTCTTTATATCTTATGTACAATAATAGTAATTCATATGTATCGCTTGTTCTTTATTGAACACTATTTATTTTTGCTTTCCTCTGGTATTGACCCTTGTGTATGAAATTCATAAATTCTCTTCAATGAACTTTACAATGGGGCCCTGACCATCCAGGATAGCATTTACAGCCATAGTCCTCCATATTCCATAAATAATTGATCCCTCGAACAAAATAATCAGTCCCTCTAGGTGAGGTGTTCTGCAGAACACATCTCCCCTTGCCATTACAATTTAACTGGCTGCATTTTGATGCAAATGAATTAATGGATTTAACATATGGACCCAATGTTGAATTGAGGTACACTTCAAGTTCTTTACAACCAGATGATGTGTTAACATTATCTCGAGCACCCCACAGTATCACACCATTGGCCCCCATGTTGAAAATCTCCCCAATGCTGGCTTCTAGGTCATCCTGAAACAGAAAATACGTCTGAATGATGGAAAAAAGGATGATACAAACAACAAACAAAATCCTTTTTCAAAAATTGAATCATGACCAGCAGAGGACTGTAAAACATGGCCCAAAATAAAGCATATACATGTACATGTATATTCAAAATATATTTACATGATACCATTTATAATTTCAATCTATAATGATCATGTATATTGATTTTGCATGGTTATTCATCTAAACTTATAGTAACATACTCACAATTTTATATAATGACTGATCATTAGCAAATCTGTATCTGGCATACACAAACACAGGCTTATCTCCTTGTTTAGTTCCTTTAGCTACTCTCTGTGCTTCCTGTATTTGTCCATGTACAAAGTTCTGTTTCAGTGTTTTTGTTTTAAGCTTAGAAGGTAAATAGACAGATGGGAATAGAGCTGTGCTAGCAGAAAACAACCAGCTTAATCTGAAAAACATGCTCCAAATTTTATAAAATGGCAAAGAACTATCAATTTGAAGTTGAACAGGTAAGTGGCTTTCTTGAAATTTTGAAAACAATATGTGATGTGGTGCCTGCACAACCAGACAAACTTATGCATGCCCACCAGACAAGATGACAACAATATAGCAATTTAAAAAAGTGTGATAAAAATATTGTAAATGTTTTACTTTCTGGTAAGAGCAAAAACTGTAAAATATCAAATATAAACAAAATCACTGATAATGGGGCACCAATCACATTAGAGCTCAATTATAAAATAGAGAATACCTACTTATCATTCTGTTGCTTTGTCTTCGTTGAACACTGACGAGTCCCAGCATAGTTGTAACACTCTGGAAAAAGATAGTATCCCCAGTATCCACCAGGTCTAGTTTCATTGGATATCTTGACTGTCTGCTCCATCATGTCCCTATTTAGAAACACATTATATATCATATTGCTTTGAGCCATATAATTTTTATCAACACATTGCAAACAACATCGTCAAATCATATGATCTTGCAAATATGTTAGGTTGAATTTCATCATCAGTGTGGTTTCAGAAATTCTACAGATTTTCTTACATAAAAAATGAATACTAAAGCAACTCTTATTTTACCTCGCTGCTTTTTCAAATTCACTTTTTGCAACATTCTGGATTTGACTGTGGTTCCAAGATGGATGTTTTCGAGAAACATCAGCTTCAGAAAGCTTATGGTATATTGTTTTGCTGTTATAGTTTCGGCCCCATGTAGGCACCCAGCTTTCCCAATCTATCACACCAATACCTTGAAAATTCTGATCAGGAATGACTCTTATTATGTCAGATTTCACTTTGTTTAGATGAGATGTCAGGTTCACATGCTGAAAATATGATATGAAAAAGAACTCAAGAAAAAATATGATGCTCTTTGGAAGCTATTTTAATTCCTTCACAAAGGATTGATATATACACTATGTCCATAAAGTCTCTTTACAATTATAAACAAGAACACAAATGTGTACAAAATGTCCCCACCAAGTGGTGATCCCGTGAAATGGTTATCCTGAAAATGAGTAGACAAGACTTTACCAACACAATTTGAGGACGGAAAATCCAAAGTGGCCAACTTAAAATTTACCCAGAATGCCCAAAATTTAGTCAGTTCTAGATTTTCATACTAAGAACCACCCCTGAAAATTTGAAATTGATCCGTCATACAGTTAACCAGAAAACATGTAAACAAGACTTTACAGACAAGATTTCAAGATGGAAAATCCAAAATGGCTGCCTTGACCCAGAATGTCAAAAAACTAATCTGTTTGTAGATTTTCATACTAAGAATCATCCCTGAAAATATGAAATTGATCTACCAAACGGTTCACCTGAAAACGGGTAGACAAGACTTTACAGACAAGATTTTAGGACAGAAAATCCAAAATGGCTGCCTTAACATTTACGCAGAATGCAAAAAAAGTAATCAGATGTAGATTTTCATACAAAGAATCATCCCTGAAAATTTGAAATTGATCTATCAAACCGTTCTCCTAAAAACGCGTAGACAAGACTTTACAGGCAAGATTTTAAGACGGAAAATCCAAAATGGCTGCCTTGACATTTACCCAGAATGCAAAAAAACTAATCAGTTCTAGATTTTCATACTAAGAATCATTCCTGAAAATTTGAAATTGATCTACGAAACGGTTCACCTGAAAACGAGTAGACAAGACTTTACAGACAAGATTTTAGGACGGAAAATCCAAAATGGCTGCCTTGACATTTACCCAGAATGCCAAAAAACTAATGAGATCTAGATTTTTATACTAAGAATCATCCCTGAAAATTTGAAATTGATCCACCAAACGGTTCACCTGAAAACGCGCAGACAAGACTTCACAGACAAGATTTTAGGACCGAAAAATCCAAAATGGTCGACATTAAAAAAGTCCTTATGAGTTTTTGCTGATTTCTTTTTACAAAATTATCACATATAACTACTGTTAACAATAAAGTAGACTTTTACAGCAAAGTACATCTGAAATTATTTATAAAGCTACTAAATAGTTAAAGTATGAAAACTCAAAAACACCATTCAATATGATACAAAGTATTATCGTGCGCTAACTTTTCTTAAGACATTCAAAATGGCTGACATGACTGAGCTAGCAGGTCCAAAACCTAATCAGATCTAGAATGAAGTGAGCTGAACAAGATGTTAAAGTTTTAAAAGCAACTGTGAAGCAGTTTTTCTTAAAGTTTGCAGACAAGGATTTTAGCATTTGACTTCAAAATGGCCGACAGGAAGTAGGTATCGAGTTAATTTTTTTTCATCCACATCTGTATGCACTCATAAGTTATCCCTGAAAATTTGAAGGTGATATCTGTAGCGGTTTTGGAGAAAACTGCCGGACGTACGGACAGACAGACGGACAGACAGACGGACGCGCCTAGGCCGACAATATGGCCCCACACTATGTGGTGGGGACATAAAGAAAGTCTGTGTAAAGAGTAAAATCACTTTGTAGACACCCTGTATGATCAAATACAGAAGTTATTGAAGGTTTAAGGATGCAAATATGTCCTCATTCAAATTGAAATAGGGGATGTCCCATTTTAACATTCACAGGTATACATCCTGAAATAAAGCCAAAATTGTTTGAACTTTTCAGAAAATAGGCATGGAGCGTAATTTTGAGAACAAGATTTATCAGTTTATCCCTTCTAATCACTTAAATAATCAAAACAAACATGGTTTATCTCACCTGAGGAATTCCTCCATTATGCTGGTTGCCTTGCTTGTCTACATATGGATAAGTCCCAAGTTGAGAAGAATAAAATATTGTCATAAATTCTCCAGTATATTTCTGGTCCTCATTCACAACCACATCAAATGCTGTTAAGTTTAAATTGACTCCAAACTTTTTACATTCTGCCGATGGGGTGTTCCAAATGATAAGGAATGGATCCTTAGGTAGTGGCTGTTTATCATGTATGTGTCCATGTAGATCTTTAATGTGATTAATGTTAGTCAATGTAGAACATTCCATACACATTACATGTGTAAAAATAATTGCTAGAGTTATCATTAAACCTTTTGGACTCATTTTGATCTTAAATTTGAGGCTCTAACAGTAAAGCAGTGTTAACCTTTTCTTTTCAACTCAAGTTTAAATGTATGCCTGAATGACACTATAGAACTGTGTTTACAAATAGAAATAAAGATATGTTATTTGAGTCATAGTGACCTTCTATGGTCTTATGATCAAGAAATAGTCATAAAACTTGAGAGCTAATAAAGAGTTTATTCAAACAAACTGTAAACTGCATTGATTTATTTCCTGTTTTATTCAGAGGTCAAGATAAAGAAAAACATTGCAGACCTACCATTTATCACTGTAGTCAACCAAATTGAGACTAGAAAATTTAAACTATTAAAAATTGTTTAATGGTAGAAGAAAATTTAAACTCCTAATATACAATCCTTATTGATTTCTACAGTGTCTCGAATTTACATATAATCCCTAGATTATCAAGCACACTTCTGCAATCTTAAAATACATGAAAGGATTTCTAGATATAATTTTCATATCTGAGACTCCATTTTACATATCTATCCACTGGAAAAATATTTCTGATACAATGAAACCTGTCTTAGTGAACACCTCTCTGTCACAGTGTCATGTGTCACAGTGAACACATGTGTCTAGTGAACACCCATTTTCAGCACATACAGCACTAACCTCTGTATAAAATGACCTCTCTATAGTGAACACCTACCTACAATGAACACATTTTTGTGGCTACATAGGTGTTCACTATACACAGGTTTTACTGTACGTAAAACTTGACTTCTCAAGAGGATTTTTTTTAAATATCCCTTTTCCCTCAGGAGAACTTACATCACTGTTACATAATTTTTCTCAAAAAGCATTACTGCTATCTTATTTACAATAACAGTATTGTATTGTTGGTTTGATGTTTTATTTTGGCACCATCCCAAATTGCTTCCTAAATATCCATTATTGATTCTGCTTAATGAACTTTACACTGTGGCCCTGACCATCCAGGATAGCATTTACAGTCATAGTGCTCCATATTCCAAAGATGATTGGTCCCATGAACATGATATTCAGTCCCTCTAGGTGAGGTATTCTGCAGAACACATCTCCCCTTGCCATTACAATTTAACTGGCTGCATTTTGATGCAAATGAATTAATGGATTTAACATATGGACCCAATGTTGAATTGAGGTACACTTCAAGTTCTTTACATTTAGATGCTGTTTTAACATTTTCACTAGAGCCCCACAGTATCACACAATTAGCCCCCATGTTGAATATCTCCCCTATGCTGGCTTCTAGGTCATCCTAAAATCAAAACATATTTTAATGGCCAAGGAACTAATGATACAAACTGCAAACAATGGACAGAAAATAGGCTACACAAAATCAACCAACTATCCTGCAGGCTGGGATTTTAGAAAAGGGCAAGGCAAATTAAGGTCAATGATGAAATTCTAACTCCATATTCAGGTTCATTCAAAAATTTCAAGAAAGCTGTGAGGGGGGTTTTCAGAAAATTCTAGTGATGCAGTTGTTTATGACTATGAATATCCTCTGGTAAATGTTGGTAGTATATGTTTACCTTTTTATAAAATGACTGATCATTAGCAAATCTGTATCTGGCATACACAAACACAGGCTTATCTCCTTGTTTAGTTCCTTTAGCTACTCTCTGTGCTTCCTGTACTTGTCCATGTACAAAGTTCTGTTTCAGTGTTTTTGTTTTAAGCTTAGAATGTAAATAGACAGATGGGAATAGAGCTGTGCTAGCAGAAAATAACCAGTTTAATCTGTAAACAAAGTAAACAAACTTTGTGTGGATTGTGGATATGGACAATAAGGGAAAGGTCTTGTGATTAAGGAAATAATCTCCAAATATTTCGAAAATTAAAAAATAATCGAAGTTCCATTCGTTTCTGCTATAAATGTTTGGATTTGAGCAAAGTAGTCTGATAATTTATAGATAAACATTGACCCCTGTTACACAGGCCAGTTGAAATGCTTCGTTACGAAGCAATTTGACAAAAAGCTTCGTAACGAAGCAATTTTGGGCCTGTGTAACACCTCCGCCTTCGTTGGAAAAGCTTAGTTGATAACGAAGCAATTGAGTAGAAAATCCAACGAAGGTTAGCTCCCAACGAAGCTTTTTTGGCCTGTGTAACAGGTAGCTTCGTTAGAAAATGCTTAGTTGGCGGTTTGCGCATGCGCGTAATAAAGAGCACATTCATCATTTTGTATTAAACGAGAGGAATCGCGAGGAAAGAACATGTTTTTAAGTACGTATTATTATAATGCTACGTTTTGAATAAAATAATTACCTATTTGCGTCACTGATTGACGCTAACTCAACCCCCAAACGCCACGTACAAATGTGATTTACCGTCTTTCGTAGCATTTCATTCGATTCCCTGCCTTTGCTCGCATTGATATGACAAAAAGTATTAAATCTAAAAAACACAGGTTTTACCGTATATGTATACGGTAGTTTTGAAACGTTTATCTGATCTATTAGAGAATAAACCTAGTATTTAAATGTCCCTCTCCTTTCGGAAAACTCCGTCTCAAGTGTGGAAGGGTAAACTTTTGAAATTACATAAGATATGCTTACTAAATAGAAAGTTGTGGCATACATGTTTAATATTAATTTTTTCTTGCGCCTCGAATAATTATACCTTGAATGTAATTCTAAAGGTGTTAATACCATGATACTGATACAAGTGCTTCCCGGTGAATCACATCAGGGAATATTGCCGATTCGATTGATTCGAAAATGTCTCTCTTCAAAAATCGTATTCAACTGGCTATCGCCCCATTGCAATACATGTACTTGTACTAGTCGTTCCATTATTTTATTCTTCGACGATTTTAAATTGTAATTGAATTTAAACTCCATGTTTAAATATATTGAATTAATTACGTTTCAAAACTTCCGTATACAAATACGGTAAAACCTGCGGACAAGGAACGGTGGCCAAAATTGTTTCTTGTCGACAGATATTTGCCACAGAGAGGCTGCATGTCGTAGGCCAGCCCCAAACAATATTGATGTGTCGTAAGACGATGCTTACAACTGATATTCAAGTTTCTTCCTATTTGCGCCATTTTCGAATTCAGCGGACGGCTGATGGATTAACATACTAATTCATGTCAAACTCACTCAAATATGCATGGAGTATTGGCGAGACGGGTAATAATCATATTAAAATGAATTGGTCATGAAATAGTAGTTACACGCGGTCCGAACTTCGACCGTTAATCTGAATTTTTGACCTACCGGATGTTTGAAAATCAAGGATTACGAGTCTCATACTGCACCGTTTTCTTCAAACTTGTTCCATTCAAAGCATAACAAATATCCCTTTCTGATGGTACATTATTCTCTTAAACAGAGTCCCTACTTCCAGCGGCATTTTGGTCCATAGCTGTAAGAAGGCCTTCTAACAGCTTGGGACCAAAACGCTGCTAGAACGAGGGACTCTTTACAATAAAGTAATGCACCGACAGAAAGGCATTTTTGTTTTGCTTTTAATGGTATAGGTTTGAAGTAAAACGGTGCAGTATGAGACAATCGCAATCCTTGATTTTCAAGCATCTGGTAGGTCGAAAATTCAAATTAACGATCGAAGTTAGGACCGCGTGAGTTAAACCACCAGCCGAACACCGAGATATTTTAGTAATGGCTACACCATTTGAAATATAGCTGAGAAGTCCATTTGGAAATTGAACGTTTTTATACGATTTTACATACTAGTTGTCTGTATAAACCCAAAATCCAATTCCTCCTAGTAATTAACATAGGCCTATTTTTATTCCATATGTTCCAAAGGAAATGATAGAAAATGAAAACAATACTTGTAATCGTATTGACAGCTGAAATATATAAAAATCGAAATGATAGGAAAAATGTATGGACATGTGTACGGAATTATCACATTCATCTTGTTTTATTTTCCCGAGAATTTTGAACTAGTCTTTTTCTGTGCTGATTTGTTAAAATAAACATTAAAAATTAGATTTTTGAGTTTGATCAATGGTTTATATCAAAAGAATAAAAATATTAATCATAATAAGTAGGTGGGGCAGATGAGTAATGCGCACGCGCAACGAAGCATTTTAAGTGCAGTGTAACACCAAATAATTGCTTCGTTAGGGTTGAATGAAGCCAGTGTGGACACAATTTTTTCGCTAACCTTCGTTACAAAAATGCTTCGTTAGACTCAACCCAGCAGTGTAACAGGTACCATCATCTGACTATTTTACAGAAATCTATCTCCTTCGCAAATCAATTAAGATTACAGATTGCTATAAGTATAATAATATAATAAAAAGTCTCAATGAAAACAGAAAATGCTTACTTATCATTTTGTTGTTTTGTCTTAGTTGAACACTCTGGAGAGCCTGCATAGTTGTAACATTCTGGAAACTCATAGTATCCCCAGTATCCACCAGGTCTAGTATCATTGGATACCCGGACTGTCTGCTCCATCATATCCCTTTATGACACATGAACAAATTAACAATGATGAAACAATGACAAACATTTTCGATATTCTAGATGTATTCATATGGTTATCACGAGTCTTTATTTTAGTTTTAAGTTGCTGAGATGAACAGTTCAGTTAAATGGCCTGATATTATGTGGGATATGATGACTTTGAAAAAATGGATGTTATCAAATCTACTACGAAGTAACTTGGTTACACTTAGCTATAAAATTAACAAAATAGAAAAATGACTAAACAATGAAAAATAATCCAGAAATTTTCGTAATCTTTTTTATTTTCAAAAGTGAGTCTCGTTTTATAAGCTTTTTGAAAAAAGGTATAAATTTTTGATGAAATGGTTCCAAATTTTCAAAATAGGACCCATCTATTTCTGTCATATTTTTCCCCATTTTTGTAAATTTCCAGATCTGTCCCTGCAGTATGATACCTCAAATTGAATATCAGAATATTTTTCTATTTATACAGATTTATTCATACCTTGCAGCTTGTTCAAATTCACTCTTTGCATAAATCTGTATTTGAGTGTGATTCCAAGATGGATGTCTTTGAAAAACATCAGCTTCAGAGAGGTTCTGATAGATGATCTTGCTGTCATAGTTACGCTCCCATGTGGGTCTCCAATTCTCCCAATCTATCACACCAACACCTTGAAAATTCTGGTCAGGAATGGCTCTTTTGATATCAGATTTCACTTTGTTTAGATGAGATGTCAGATTGACATGCTGTAAATAAGATATGGTATTGTATACCTCTGAGGTTTTTCACCTTTAGCTTTTTACCACCGAGACTTTGCTTGCAATACTTTTGTAGCTTCTATTTACTGAAATGCAGCCATAAACTTTTTCCTTGTAGCCCTTTAAAACCAAACTTACAGCAAATGTAAAACTATTTTTAACAGTTTTATTCATTCAAATACTTACATTTATTATTCACCTTATTACTATTTACTCATTTACTTATTTCAATAACATATTGTTCACAATCAATCCTACAGAACTACAGGATGTTCAGGAAATAAAGATAATAATGTCGTAACTTTTTTATTTATTCATGGATTGCATTGAAAGTTTCAGAGATCATAGTTTTAACTAATTTTAATTTATCGCTGGAGTTTCAGCTTCAGGCGATTTGATTGATTGATTCTGTGGTTGTCATAGCGACTCGAGTAGCTCTAAGGCGGGGCAGTTGGAATAACTGAAGTATATTTGTATGTTTTAAATGTTTTCAAAAGAGATTCTATCATGTTTATGACTTAAAATGGATGCTTAAACATAGTTATAACTATAAGCCTGAAATTCTTTGCCAATTTATCAATTTATTCTACATAATTTCCTCCATTCTAGACACAAACTCTTTGCCTCTTGAACCTTTTTAAAATACTTCACAGAATTCTTCTTGACTCATTTCCTGGAGTCTGTGTTACACATGTGAATGTATGGCGTGAGTATTCTCAAATGCATGTCTTCTTAAATCTGGTTTTGATTCAGCAAAGAAGTATAAATCATTTGGCGCTAGGTTGGGTGAATAAGGTGGATGCTTGAGTTGCTCTAATCTCAGCTGCTTATTTTTTTAGTGATTATGGTAGCAGTATGGGAGGGGGAATTGTCCAAGTGGAAGAGAAATTGCATCCCGGGTCGCTTTCGATGTAATGCCTGTATTTAGTCATAAAAATCCCTTTGAATATCATTAAAAAAGCATTTATTTGACTTTTATATCATAAAAGAAAACAATAGAAGAATTTTATCATGGAGATGCACCAAGGAAGCTTTAAATATGGAGTCAAAATCGGTTTGCCATGCTAAATGTTACACAGAAACTACTGCAGTTATTCCATGTGCCCCGCCTCAGCGCTAATCGCATTGCTATGCCAACCACAGAAATGACAAATCAAATCGCTTGAAGCTGAAACTCCAAAAGTAATTTTAAATATGTCTAATCTATAATCCCTGCAAATTTTATTGAAATTCATGAATAAATAAAAAAGTTATGACATTATTATCTTTATTTCCTGAACACCCTGTATATATACAGTAATACAGTTGTATCTATGTTAAAGGCAGAATCAGATCTAGCAATTACTTTGATTACATTGGTGCTTCATCTTGATGAAAATTGTTTCAATTTTAGAATATTTTGGGCTCATATCATTCCATGTCATATCTATTTTCTAAAAATACCCCTAGTATAAACTTTATTTGAGGAAAACTAAAGGATTTTTACAAATTTGACAACATTTGTCTGGAAGAATGGTTACCATATTTATCATTTGGGAGAATGTAAATATTTTTCCCCTATTTTTGCACTTTGAATCGTAAATAACTTCACCAATTTCTTGCAATTTTGTCACTTCCGATAGATCTGATTTTGTCTTTATTAATTACATGTACATCAACATACATCTCAAGTGTATTTTTTTGTAACAATTGTGCTTTAACTGCAAACTTAAAGTTTGAGAATTCTAACAAACTGCAAAAAGAGGTTTATCTCACCTGAGGAATTCCTCCATTATGGATGCCATCCTTGTCTACATATGGATAAGTCCCAAGTTGAGGAGTATAAAATATTGTCACAAAATCGCCAGTAAATTTCTGGTCCTTATTCACGACCACATCAAATGCTGTTAAGTTCAAATTGACTCCAAATCCTTTGCATCCTTCTGATGGGGTGTTCCAAATGATAAGGAATGGATCCTTAGGTAGTGGCTGTTTATCATGAATATGTTCATGTAAATCATTAAGAAAATCGCGCTGGATGTGATTTCTAGTAGTTGATCTAAAGCATCCGACACACATTGAAAATGATGCTAAAATTGTTATTAAACCTTTTGGTCCCATTTTGATTTCAAATCATTGAGATAAATATAGTATGGTATAGATGCCTGTGCTTTATATTGACCTTATCTGAACTTTAAGTTGTGTCTGAATTATAAGCCACTAAACTCTGTTAACAGAGTAGATAAGCTGTTTGGGTCACAAAGACCTGTAAAGTCATATGATCAAGAAATACACCACAAATCCTGTCATATGATAAAGTTTAACTTTATCATAACTAATGATAACAACAACACCAAGGCGGCACAGAAAATCCCATCGAACACCTAATGAGTGTCAGATATCATTGCTAGAAATCATGTCTCAAAATGGTTCAACCCAAAATGTATATTACATAAAAAGGTGCCATTTACAAAATGGTAACCTACAGCCAGATTGTTATTAGAGAGTGGAATAGGCTTCCAAGTATTCACATATAAAATTTCAACAAAATTGCTCCATAGCAAAAAAACATATAAACATTTAAAAACACCTAAAATGGCCATGATAGTCAAAGTGTCATAAGACAGTGTGCCATGCTTTCAATATTCACATATCAAATATGAACAAAATAAATCTCAAAATAGCTTGTCAACACTTTTAAATATGACAGCAACATTTCGTTTTTAAAGAAAAATTTAAACTAAATCAATATCCTTTATTTTTGGGCATTTAAATCATCTATAATACAGTTCTATATATCATTATTATATTGTTACTAAAATACTATAAAATAGATGGAAGCCATTTTGTAACCGATGACCATTTTCAAAATTGGTTTTCAAGTAGAACTGGTACTCACATAGGGCATACTTGTGTATAAGATATAAACAAATGTGGGCCAACGGTATCTGAGTTATTGCATGGACAGATGGACAGATGGTTGGATGGACAGACGAATGGACGGGGAAGTTCTTTAGATAAACATTTACAAATTAAATTCATAAAATGTGGAGCTGATATGGATGATGTGAATACAAATGCTTGTAAAATGATATTTTGAAACCAAGGTTTCATGTCAGACAAAAATGATCTTTTTACAAGATTTATTTTTTGCCAACTCACCAGCATACCCAGCAGCACAAGATGATGACAATATAAAAACTTTAATTGAAAGCCCATGGTCCAATAAAAACAAGAAGTTTTTTGTAATTTTTCAATACCATAATTTTACATTCTTCACATACAAAATCACCCCAGTTTATGAAAACATACCACAGACTTGAGAGATTTTAATTTTTTGTGTAACTTGAGATGTCCTCTCTACCCAAGTACATTGTAATATGTTTCTTTTTTTCTTTATTGTAACTGCATGTATTTAAATTCTGTATTTATATTTGTATCGTGTAATTGAGAAGCATTTAAATTAGCAACTATGCTATTTTGCTAATCTGAATAAATATAGTATTATAAACAAAACAGACTTGTAATTAAATAGATGTATTACTATTTTGTCATCTATATCAAACATATGCATATCAAGGTATTATCTTGACTGGTCTTATAATTATAAAGTATACTCATACCTTATGTAAGGCTTTTTGGTAATTTACTTTTTTAAAAAAATGCTTTTAAATATGATTTATTTAATGTTACTTAGCTAAAGCAGAGTATATAAGCACAGTCCAATAAGTTTAATTAATCATTTTAATAAAATGTGATTTTCTAAAATGAGGAATAACTGCCATGCCATCTATAAATATTTATGGTGCAAGTTTTTTTTCAATCTTTGGTATATTTTAGGACCAGAAATATCTAATGAAGTTTTGATCATGCATGGTACTTTGAAAATATGGGGCTAAACCATACAAGTACAAGTTAAGTGAAAAGCACTGCATGCAAATTATAATATTCTGTCTATTCTTATACATTGTGTTATGCACAAACCCAAAAAATTCCCACTGAGATTAAGGTCAGGGTGCACTTTGATGAAATTTCATGACCATAAACATAACTCATTCCACACATCATCTAAATCTTTCATTCTTGCACAAATGATGCGTTAATGTACTTAGATTATTAATTGAGGGTTGATAATTCTTCAAAATGTTTGAATAACTGGAATATTCAGTTGTTTACTTTTCAAAATTGCAAATGTTTACTTACTGTATACAAAGTAAAGAAGGAATCTAATACAGGGTAGTAACAATCCATTGAAGGCGATTATGGAAAGCTGCAAACAGAAGAATATTTCTATTAAAAAGATGGTAATAATAGTTGAATGTATTGCAAAAGTGTACTTTCTGAAAACATAAATTGAGGAAATATTTGCTTTTCAAAATGAGGTTTAAGGATCTGACCATGAAGAGTAAGCAGCATCTCGATCTCAATATTAACAAATATTTTGTCATGTGACCTGTGGTTCAACCAATTACAAAATAAGAAACATGATGGTGAGATAATTATACATTTTTTTACACATTCTAAGTAAACTGAGTGTTATATTTGTATTACAATAACATTAAATGAGTTCATAGTCTGGTAATATTTTTTTACAAAAGAAAATTGTAATAAAGTCTGTGACAATGAACACTAATAAATGGATATATTTGTATTTCCCAAAATATTATAAATTACATACCCAGAATAAGGGAAGTGTTCAATGTTTCCCATTCATAAAATATGCAAATGAGAAATGAGATATATACCTGTCCATTTTGGTAAATACATTTAGGTAAGTACAACAAGGAAAAGAATATTTGGTATACATTTTAGGGGTATATACAAATTGGAATGGCATAGGCTTGTTTGCTCAAATATTATATCTTATACCCTCAGATATTACAAATTACATACCCAGAATATTCCTCCATTCCATGCACAGCATAAGAAGATTCTATGTAGGACTTTAGGCTCACTAGAAAAAATATAAGCCCCTTATCACTGAAGGAAATAGCACATACAAATGAACAATTATTTGTGATGAATACTGATTGAAAAAGATAACCATCTTTCAATTCTCTTTGTACATATACCAATGGCATATGGCCCTACTCTCAAAATTTAGAGAAAAGTTGATTTTTTATATTGAATTGCCCCACACTATAAAAATACTGGATATTCTGAAAAATGGCCAATAATTTACATTTTATTAATAGTCCATATTTATATTTCAAAATGCCCCAAAACACTTCAAATGCAATCTCATTTTCAAATTTTATTGGGGGCAAAACCCCCATCAAATCTCTTTCGCTTCACTCACTCGTAGGGTACACTTACAAAATACCCACTACCCGCTACGCCACTGTATATATGTCTTACGAATTCTTATGAATAAGTAAAAATAGCATGAGATCAGTGTACTATTATTGCACTGTTGTACATGTATTTCAAATGCAACAGGATACAAATCTTTAACTGATTTCAAACAGCAACCGTAGAACAATGGCTGTAGCATAATATCACAACTCATGACATAATGAATAAAGTAATGGAATTCAAAAACATACCTCTCTACTTTCTTTTCTCTAGTTTTATGCTGATCTCTCTCTGCTCTTCTCTGCGCCAAAACACTCAGTTGCTCCTGGGCCTTTACTGATCCAGCGCTCCTTTTAGATACTTCTTCATCCAATTTGTGAATTTTCAATGTTCCTAATATGGCATCTCGCATACCAGATATAATATCAAATAAAGTTCTTTTTATAGTGTTTGTCATGATGCAAAATTGAGTATGTGAAATAGGCAGTTATTTAGTCAGACATCACTGTTGATCATTTACAGATTGAGTTTGGCACTTTTTAAGACTTTAAAATATCTTGAAACGTATATCTGAAAAATAAATAGTAACAATTAAATTATTATAATTATATAATTCAAAAGGACTTTCATCAGGCTAGCTATAAGCCCTTGTCAACCCCCCCCCCCCCCACCATCCCCACTACACATCCCTGAATGAGGAAATTTGTAGTCAAGTACACCCACAGGGTCAAACACACACGGTTTTGAAATAAATGAGGTACTTTAATGATGAACAGAGACTGGAAAGTAGAGGTGTCAAGTATTAACCGGTTAACCGGTTTACCGCCGATAATGCCTTGACCGGTCTGTGTTTTTATGGGTGGTTAGTTGACCGTGTATAATCCTGTTATTTCCCGCGCTAATATTGCATGCTAATCTGTTTGGTTTTAAAGTGTCACTTTCAAGTAAGCTACTCATACATGTCATAAGTTCGATAACTCCTTACAAACATCCAATCAGCAACTTTAATCCCTGCCACATTGCTTTCCCGCGCTTACTTTGCATGTTAATCTCTTTGTTTTTCAAGTGTCAGTTTCATGTGAGCTACTCATACATGTGATAGGTCCGATAACTCCTTACAAACATCCAATCAGCAACTTTAATCCCTGCCACATTGCTTTCCCGTGCTTACTTTGCATGTTAATCTGTTTGTTTTTCAAGTGTCAGCCATGTGTAATCAACTCATATTGCAAAACAATTTCATAAATAAATTATATGCATTTTTTAATTCGTCAGTTTTGTTATTATTGTTGTCTATCAACGTCGCCAAAATGTCAAAGGTCAAAGTCTCGCTTTGGTAGTGAGAAAATTAAAATTAAAATAAACACTAATCAGTAATCAGCTGCAATTCTCAGTTGTTATGGTGCGTTCGTGGAGATTCCAAGGGTAAACCAGTGTGGTAATTTAGAGGTACCGGTAGTCAGGTAGTGTATGAATAGAACAGAGTAAAGCTTGACGAACGTAAAAAAATAAACGCCGATATATCATTTTTCCAATTTTTTTCAACTTTCAAGATCGAAGATGAAGATTTCATTTGAAATTATCAGTTCAAATTTCCCGCCGGTTAACCGACTTTAACCGGTAAAAACATCCGGTTAACCGGTTAATGCTCAAGCAGTTAATTGACACCACTACTGGAAAGAGATCATGTAATAGCAAGTCCGCCATCTTGAAAAGTGATGGAATCTCTCTCGATGACAAAAGAAAAAATGTTCCCGTTCTGCCAATATACTAAGATGATTGTGGATTCAACTAAACAAAAAGAATGCTAAAATACCCAGGAATCTATTGAAGTAGGTATCTTAAGTGTAAGAGGCGTAGAAAATTCTCCCATGTTGTAATCTTACAGGCAAAAGATTGAGACATTCTCAGGACTATAGTCCTGGCACAGGATAAATTTGGACACACATTTGCCGTATTAAAAGTCAAATTACTGCGTCCATAGGTTATTTACTTGAACCAAACAAGTAGAAATAGAAGGACGAAGATCTCAGCTATAAACTAAGTACAAAATCTGTCACGGAGAAGCAGGTAACATTTTGTATATAAGTAACATTTTGAAAGGCGGACTAAACTGCGGACTAAACACGAACCTGTCGGAATCGTCTAACAGGAAATTATATAATGCCTTTTGTAGTTACATAAGGCAAACCAGGAGATTCTAATGAGCACATTATAAAACTGTATATAGAAGTACATGTATAAGTGATTTTAGACTATGAATATATAAGCACAAGTGAGAAGCACAAGCGTAAGCACAGGTGTAAAACAAGCAACACGGGACCATTTAGCGGCATTAGCGCATAAAAGGATACAAACAAACAAACAAACGGTGGTCACTTTTTTGAAATTTTCCAGTTTGGTGAAGCATCTCCTGAATTATTGTTTGAGCCTATGAGATCCTACTACAAAACGATCTGGCCAACATCTGAGGGTCTACTCTAGGCTAATGAATGATAATTGATTCATCATGATCATTCAATTCATCCATGTAAAAAATTTATCTAAAAAACATTTACTCGGTACCTCAGCTTTTTCCCAACAATTTAATTAATATCTAAGTAGCACTTACCTTCAGAACTGTATATACAGATATATATGCTAATATTTAGGCAATAGTTTGGTGCAAACTAGAGATATTAGTAAAAATTAATCGGAAATCGCAGCAGACAATTTTTTTTCCAAAAGTAATGCGCACTTTAACTGCGCATGTTCCTGCAAACATTAACAAATAGATTAGGATGTAAATTGTTAGTTATTGAAGAAGTAATATTTAGCTATATTTTCCTGAGTGAATCTATGTATTAAACAAAATCAAATTATAATGAAACATTACCCTTATATTGCCTGATATTGTGTTTATTAATGTTTCTACGGGTTCAACTTTTTGAGAACACGAAATTCTTTCTTTCTTCCGGTTTGTTCAGCATGGTGAGAATATTAAAATGTTCCTTCGTGACTCGAAGTTATCTGTTTTCGTTGTCTTTGAACGGAACATAAATGTCATGCGGAGAAAGCATAATGATGTTTTCTGCCATTTAAACACATTTATTTCTCTTTTGATAGTCCAGATTTGTCATAAATGATATCGAAATGGAGATGTGAAAAAAATTTCAATTTTTTAAATTTTTTGTGCCATTTCTTACAACAAGTGTTAAACATAGAGTTACAGCAACCAATTGAAAAACCAGCACAGAGAGACTAAAACATGTCATAAGATAACCAACAGTGATAACCATTTGTTTTCCCATGCCATCGTTTCTTGTTGATTGTATTGCTAAGTAGGGGTTCGCTGAAAGCATTTTTGCTCAGTCCAGAATTTTATGTATGTGCGAAACCTTGAAAACTGTAGCCCTATATTTGAAATGTACTGTATTAATACTATAAAAACATCATTTTCAGCCACCCAAAGGCAAACAACAGCAACCATCCAAAACCCCCGCCAAGAAGAAGGAGGGAGGTGGAGGAGGCAAGGCCAAAAAGAAGGTAACCTAAATATACCTCTAAGTCTACTATATAGAAAATGTCCAATACTTTATTATCCCACCAAACAAAGTTCGAGGGGGATATAGAAAAGCTGTCCGTCTGTTCGTGTGTACGGGCAATAACTGAAATACTGGTTTACGGATTTCATTCAAATTTTATAGGCTTATGGTTTAAGGCTTATGCTGATTGGAGTTTATAGAAACTGTCCAATACTTTACGAAGTTCAAGGGGATATAGAAAAGCCGTTCCTCCATACATACGTCCGTATGTATGTCCGTCTGTCTGGGCAATAACTCAAATACCGCTGGCCCGATTTTGTTCATATTTTGTACACATATATCCAATGGGGATAAAAGTTCTGCTCGAAAACCGATTTTCAAAAAGGCCGCTCAAAAAAAATTGGCGTCCATTTTAGAGCCGATTTTCCAGTAATTTAGGTACTGCATATAAAACTGTAATAGCAATGTTTTAAATGTAAAAAAGTTATATAAAACAATGTTTAGGTGCTATGAAAGTTAACAGGAAACGACAAAACAGGAAGTGACAACATTTTTTTGCATTTTTAGACATTTTTTGAACAAAGATAACAGAGTACTGTTTTGACCTCCAGTCAATTCAACTAGTTCCAAATACCATTTACAGGTCCAGGATCACAATGTTCATGGTCAGAATGACCCTAAATATGATGAAATAACCTTTTCAGCCCTTTGAAAATGTGACTGAAAAATAGCTAAAAGTAGGAGGTAGGAAACGTCACTGAACAGAATCTTTTGAAGGCAGCTTGAATTAGTGGTCGGAGGTAATACCGCATTACCGGCAACGGCACTAATTTGACCTAATGCCGGCATCAAAATCTTCCTACCGGCAATGGACGGCATTCAGCTGAATTAGATTCCCGGGCGGAATCAGTCAAATTCCTTCATCAGTATGATCTCTAGTTTCTTTTCTCACTGATTAACTAAACTGTTATGTATAGAAACCGATTTGTGTACATAACTAAGTAAAATAAACAGAATTAAACCATTTTTCTGACGTTGAAGTTTCACTTTACCTATTATGGCCCGATTTGAAGTTCAGAACGAGGCTGATAATACAACCAACCACTTTTCATTACCGGTCCGAGCACTAGCTTGAATTGAGTAAGATAGGAGGTGCAAATTACTGTAAATAGTAGATATAAGTTTCATTGTATACTAGTAAGGTACATACTATATGTAATGTAACTATGAATATCACCAAATTGAATAGATATGAGATTCACCTACTAGAAAACAGCCAAAAGTGAAATTATAAACGCAAAAAATAATATAGTAGATAGACATCAATATCCCAAAAGTTGCAATGAAGTAGCTCCAAATTAAAGATGAATACAGTTACCTTATGTCAAACAATTAAATTTGTTTAAGTGTGTTTGCTCTTTTATTTGCAGAAGTGGTCTAAAGGAAAAGTCAGGGATAAGCTGAACAACTTGGTCCTTTTCGATAAGGAAACATATGCTAAATTGTACAAGGAGGTGCCTAGCTACAAACTAATCACTCCATCTGTTGTATCTGAACGATTGAAGATTAGAGGATCTCTTGCAAGATTCGCCCTAGAAGAATTATCTGGGAAGGGTAAGTATTGGCAGCTTGCGGATTATGTTGGGGCAGAAAGGGGAATCTTCAAGTTTATTAATAAACCTGATTTTCTCAAGATTTTTTAATAATTTCCTGATAAATTTTACCTCAATTTGATGGAAATTTTGACTGTTTTTCCCACAGAATTTTCCTTGATTTTTTATATTTATTTGAAAAACTGCCCAGATATTGTATTTTTTGGATTACACTTTTTTCCAAGCTTATATGAATATCTTGTGACAGACTTCTCCGACTCCAGTTACATTGCTGCAGCAGTGATTACATTCTGGTACTCTTCACATCTTTCTGCCTTAAACTATTAATTTTGGGATTTTGTTGGTTACAATTTGTGATCTGATATCATCAGAGAGGAGGAGTAAAACATTCTAAGTGGGATGTTTATCATGTATTTTAGTATTTATGAATATTAAATCTTGCAGAATGAAAATGTGAATATAACAGTTGAAACGATTCACATACCTTTATATTATGATAACATACCAGAGCAAATTGTGATTGTAATAAATAATTCTATAAGTGTGTTTCAGCAATTTTCTCAGGTCTCATAATTTTTAATGGTTTCCGTGTTTACTATTCCAGTTTCATTCCCCTGTTGTCAGAAATGGTCATAAATTCTAATATGAAATCCCCGTTAACCACCAAATTATTTTTTATTATCTCCAGGTCTGATCAAGCTTGTAGAGAAGCACAGTTCTCAGGTGATCTACACAAGAACCACCAAGGCAGCAGAAGAAGCAGAGGCCGCAGCCCTGGCTGAACCAGTCAAAAAGGGAAAGAAGGACAAGAAATAGATTCTTTGCTCTGTACAGAATATGTAAAAATAAAAAAAACTCAAAATACCAAATATGTTTGAACTTTTGTTCAATGGAACCTGGAATGGATTATGTGGATTTTTGCCTCATATGGTTGATGAGTTTATGCTTGCACTCAGTTTTCGAACACATGAAAATTCCTCATAATTATGATCCATACTCTTAAGAAATGGTAATGAATATAAGGAATCACCATGTGAACCCACTGGATGGTGCCATTATTACTGTCCTGCAATTTGTGTATATGGTTCCAGGAGCCAGGTTAAAATTGGTGGTTCTTCCCTGACAAAAGATAAGGATGAAGGATACCAGGTTATGCACCTTTGCACTGTATTCATCATAAAATTATGCCAAGAGGAGTCGAAATCAAAAAGCAATTCTAAATACTGATGTAGAAAGTGGATTTACAATCACTCTTGCATACTTTCAAGTGATAAAAAATTATTTAATGATTTCGGTGAAGACAATATTCTGATTTTTGTGAAATGCCCAATATGCTGTATATTTTACCAACACTGTATGTGGTAGGATATGAGTCTAGTCATCCTCAACTCTGCGTTTACTAACGATTGGCTCACTTCACAAAGACAAGTCAAGACAGAATCACCCACTCATTTCCTATTAATATTGTATCGTAAAAACAAATACCTGTTATTGTACGATTTGCAGTTTAACACCAATTATAAATAGCCATTTTCAGTCAAGTCAGAAAAAATGAACTTAATGCACATTCAACAACATTAAAGAATATAGTAAACCGTCTGAGGCAGTGAAATGTCTATCAAACCTACTAAAAATAAGCCATCAAAGGATCAGTGCAATAGCCTATTACAAGGAAAAAACATTCATTTTTTTTCAATGCTTTAAGTTTGCATATTTTGGATTGCTATACTATATTCATAATTGACGGTTTTTTAAAACATTATTTTCGAAAAGTAGATTTATCAAAATTACAATCGCATTTATCCCGATTTTAAGGAAGTTATCCCGATTTTTTTCATAAAATATCTCGATTTTGTGTTCAAAACTTTTTCAGTAAAAACACCCGATTTCTAAATCATTTAAATGGTACCCTCCCGATTTTCGTTCAAAACTCCCGATTTATTAATAAGATGCCCTCTCAAAAAATGAAAGTATACGGCAGGTTTTGTGATAAAACAAAATACAGTAGCTAAGTAACTACACATACAAAATACACTTGTAAAGCTCTTTCATCTTCTTTTACTACAGTATTCCAGACCAGAAATAAATCGAACGTTCTGGGACTGAAAAATTTCAACCAATTGAAACGCATATAGGAGACATTACAATGAAAGTTGGAACGTAGTGAAAACAAATATGCAAAAGCATTTTTGTGATAAAACGAAATAGCTTACTAAATATACCGTTTGCTTATTTAATCTTCTTTAAACTATTTGAAACCAGAATTTAACTTTCGACTGAAAAGGGGATGCGTTTTCGAGAAAATATAGGTGGCGCGGAAACTACTTACGTGGCCCCGGCGCCCCCCCCCCTTCAATCCTTTCAAGAAATTAAGAAAAAAAAGAATCTTAAAGGGTTCCGATAAGCATCCCGTATAAAAACAATATGGCGGCCAAGGCGAATCAACTGGATCAGTCCATTTTTAAGAGATAAGGGGAGTTCTGTAAATTCAGTTTATTGAAATAGGATAGTTTCTAAATAGCAGAAAAATCAATGAAATATCGTGCTGCCATCTTTTATTCAGCTTTTAACTCGGGCTAGAGCTCCATTCAT